TTACGCCATGGTCACACTTGTCGAAGGCTTTTCAAAGTCTGTATATATTACATCTGCATTCTTTTTGTCTTCTAGTGCATCTAGGACCTTGTCGTAGTGATCCAATAGTTGAGACAGACAGGAGCGACCTGTTCTAAACCCATGTTGCCCTGGGTTGTGTAACTGATGGGTTTCTAGATGGGTGGTGATCTTGCTTCATAGGACCCTTTCAAAGATTTTTATGATATGGGATGTTAGTGCTATCGGTCTGTAGTTCTTTGCTGTTGCTTTACTGCCCCCTTTGTGGAGTGGGCTATGTCTGTTGTTTTTAGTAACTGTGGGACGACCCCCGTGTCCATGCTCCCTCTCCATAGGATGATAAAGGCTCGTTATAGGGGCTTCTTGCAGTTTTTGATGAACACGGAGTTCCATGAGTTTTGCCCTGGGGCAGAGTGCATGGGCATGTCATTTATCGCCTGTTCGAAGTCATTTGGCATCAGGATAACATCGGATAGGCTTGTGTTAACCAAATTCTGTGGCTCTCCCATAAAAAAATAATTTTGATCTTCGACTCTCAGTCTGGTTAGTGGCTTGCTAAAAACTGAGTCATATTGGGACTTGAGTAGCTCACTTATTTCCTTGCTGTCATCTGTGTAGGACCCATCTTGTTTAAGTAGGGGCCCAATACTGGACGTTGTTCTCGACTTTGATTTGACATAGGAGAAGAAATACTTTGGGTTTCTTTCGATTTCATTTATGGCTTTTAGTTCTTCCCGCGATTCCTGAGTCCTATAAGATTCCTTTAGCTTAAGTTCGATGCTTGCTATTTCTCTGACCAGTGTCTCCCTACGCATTTCAGATATATTGACCTCTTTTAGCCGCTCTGTTATTCTTTTCCGTCGCCTGTAAAGGGAGTGCCTGTCTCTTTCTATTTTACATCTACTCCTCCTTTTTCTTAGAGGAATAAGCCTTGTGCATACATCGAATGCCACCAAGTTAATCTGTTCTAGGCATAAGTTGGGGTCTGTGTTGCTTAGTATATCTTCCCAGCTTATATCGGTTAGGACTTGGTTTACTTGGTCCCACTTTATGTTTTTGTTATTGAAGTTGAATTTGGTGAATGCACCCTCGTGACTAATCTCATTTTGTCGGTCTGGGGCTCAGCGCATACATGTCTGAACCTCAATTATGTTGTGATTTGAGTATATTGTTTTTGACATGGTGACATTTCTTATCAGATCATCATTGTTAGTGAAGATGAGGTCTAGTGTATTCTCCAGTCTAGTAGGCTCTATTATTTGCTGGTTTAAATTGAATTTTGTGCAGAGATTTAAAAGCTCGTGTGAGTGTGAGTTTTCATCAGAGCTGCCTCCTGGTGTTATTACTGCAACAATATTATTTGCTATATTCCTCCATTTTAGGTGCCTTAAGTTGAAATCCCCCAGGAGCAAGATGTTGGGTGCAGGAGCTAGATGATTTTCCAGACAGTGGTCAATTTTTAACAGCTGTTCCTGAAATTGCTGGGATGTTGCATCCGGAGGCTTGTAGACTACCACAATGACTAGGTTTTGGTTCTCGACCTTTACTGCTAAAACTTCCACTACGTCATTTGAGGCATTAAGCAGTTCTGTGCAAACAAGTGTCTCTGCAATGTACAGGCCAACCCCTCCCCCCTCCCCTTTTGCCTGCTCACTCTGTCACATCTGTATAGGTTGTAACCTGGGATCTATATTTCGTTGTCCAAGTGATCCTTTATGTGGGTCTCAGTGAAAGCCGCGAACATTGCCTTTGCCTCTGCAAGCAGTCCAATGATGAAAGGTATTTTTCTGTTTGTTGCTGGCTTTAGACCCTGTATATTTGCAAAGAAGAATGTCATCGGACTGGTGGTATTGTTGGTACTGGGGGGGGGATTTTTTTTTCTGGCATTAGTATCTGTATCTGTTGGTTTGGAGTGGAGGCCATCGACTGTGGTTCCACTCCAGGAATGACTGGATTTGGTGTACGATCTCTGCCATTTCCTGCCAGTTTTTTTTTCCTTCCTGGCACTAAAAAACCTCTCCCTCTTGAGTGGCAGTGGCTACCCAGGTTTTCCCATGGCCTGGATGTTTTGTGTCTTTTTGTTCCCTTTAGATGGTGTGCCTGGCAATTTAAGTTATAGCACAGTCTTTCCTGTACTGAAGAGGTACACATTTCAGGGTGAAAAAGCTTACAGGAAGGGAGTTTGCATTTTCCTGTTGTCATATGGGCACGGCATTTTCTAGGGTGGTCATAGTTGCACGTCCCGTCTGTTTTTCCAGATTTCCCATGTCTGCAGATACCAAGTGCATAGTACGTGCACAGGCTTGGTTTCCGTTTGCCTTGGGTTTCTGTGACTGTATTCCCTGTTGGTGCATGTTTACCTGTCTTATTCCTATCCTCCCTAGCACCAACAATGGAGCTCCCACCAGTTGTTTTTGGTAATATATCCTCACTATTGCTAATGGAGTCCTCTTGTTTGCTATTTCCTGTGGTATTTCTAGTTTGCAATATTGGTTTTATCTTATCTTTGACTACACTTGTTTCCCCACTACGGCTCTTGTCCCCTATGAGGTCATTTATATGTATTCCTTCCTGCGTATAATTCCCGACTACCTGGACAAAATCTCCAGCTTCACCATTACTGTCTCTCAGGACAGCTCCTCCAGCTTCACCATTACTGTCTCCCAGGACAGCACCTCCAGCTTCACCATTACTTTCTCCCAGGACAGCACCTCCAGCATCACCATTACTGTCTCCCAGGACAGCACCTTCAGCTTCACCATTACTGTCTCCCAGGACAGCACCTCCAGCTTCACCATTACTGTCTCCCAGGACAGCACTATCAGCCCCACATTTACTGACAACCAGGACATCACCTCCAGCCTTACAGTTTCTGACTACATGGCCAGTATCAAGGGCAGTACCATTCAGCCCAGACTTTTTATGTTCCCATCTGTTGTAGAATGCTTCCAGGTTTTCTATGAAAGCAGCTTTGATGTTATCCTCTTTTAATACCCTTGTGATTTTAGTCCACAGATTTATCTCATTTGGGCATACCCAAAAAAACTTCCCTGTTTTAATACTGCTTGTAGCTAGTTCTTGGATATCTGCACAAGGGGCGTGACACCAATTTCCACAAAAATGACAATTTATCCAGGTGGAAGCCCGTTTGTTTGATTGACTGCAGACTACACAGAGCTTCATAATGATTTGAATGGTTGATTTACTGTAATTCTACTAGCAACCTCTTGAATATTCTATTAATAACCTCCTTAAATGAAGCTCTAGCTATTTGTATTTCTATTTCTAACTGTACTTGTATATTGGACAGCTTACCGTGTAAGTTCCTGATTTATATTTATTGTTTGTGTTTGATAAGGGCGCCTACAACCCCATCCGTTTACAGTCTGCTTTATTGTCCAACGAATCCGTTTGAAACCAGTCAAGGGGTCGGACCAGTCGAGGGTTCGGACCAGTCGAGGGTTCGGAACCAGTCTGATCTGATCAGTAGGTCACTTATTTAAAACATACTGGTCGGTGATTTGGGCTAACACATGAAGGATCTACTGGAAATTATCTACCCGTGTAATATGTGATTTGATTGATACAAAAGTATAACTTGCGTGTTGAAGAACCGGTGTCTGCAATGGAAGACACTGTCATGCAGATTCGGGTGTCATCTGCAAAGGAAGACACGGTGCTGTGGCTGACATCCTTGTCTATGTCAGATATGAGGATGAGAAACAAGATGGGAGCGAGAACTGTGCCTTGTGGAACAGAGCTTTTCACCGTAGCCGCCTCAGACTTTACTCTGTTGACTACTACTCTTTGTGTTCTGTTTGTGAGGAAATTATAGATCCATCTACCAAGTTTTCCTGTTATTCCTTTATCACGCATTTTGTGCGCTATTACGCCATGGTCACACTTGCCGAAGGCTTTTGCGAAGTCTGTATATATTACATCTGCATTCTTTTTGTCTTCTAGTGCATCTAGGACCTTGTCGTAGTGATCCAGTAGTTGGGACACACAGGAGCGACCTGCTGTAAACCCATGTTGCCCTGGGTTGTGTAATGGATGGGTATCTAGATGGGTGGTGATCTTGCTCTTAGGACCCTTCCAAGAGTTTACATAGAAGCAGGTAATGAACAATATTTAGATAAAGGTAAGGAAGTTTTTTGCTATATTTATGGATTTAGAACAGCTCATTGTACCCTTTCATCAATAAATATTGTCATCTTAACAAAGTGACTGACATGATCACTTTCTATCCTAACAAACGAGGTACGAGGTTCTGACCAGAGCTTTGGAAAGATGGGGAAGGAAGAAGGATGGGTAAGAATGGAAATGTGGGAAAGGGTGAGTCACTTTTCCAAAAAATATAGTTACACAAGATACACCAAGAGTTTATCAGATATGTAAAAACTGCGGCCAAGTATATACAGAGAAGACTAGTGGAAAGTTATCATTGAACGGGATCACTAAATACGACGGCGATTCCTTATTGACAAGAGAGTTCAGCCGTCTTTCAACATGCTAGCAATAACAACCACAATATGGGTTATTTCTTGTCATCGATAAGTGTTCATTACACTTGTATTGGTTATCTATATATATGTATATGCAGCAGTGTTTGATAAAGAAAATGACAGCTTAATCACAGCTGGCTACATTTTAATAAAAACGGAAGTAATACATGCTGGGTAACAAAAGGTGCTAGCAACTAACGTCTTTTATAAGATGCCGCCATGCATGGAGAGCAGTGACTGGAAAGGTAGGGTGATGTTGACAGTATATAGACATACGCACACTTCGAGGCATTTATTGAAGAAACGCTTCGGCACTAGTGGCTTCTTCAGTTCTAGGACTGATGAAGCTACTTGTGGCGAAATGTTTCCTTAATAAATATCTTGAACTGTGCATGTGTGTGTTTATTTACATGGAGAACAGTGTTAATAAACTTAAGACTGCCCAGTTTAAATCTCCCAGCTGGCTGCTTAACAGACCTTGGGGTACTCTGAGGGGATCCGGCTTGAAGGATATCTGTGATGAGTGCTCGGTGAGTGCTTCCTGCCTCTTGTCTACCTCCAGAGCTGCCCGCTGCAGGACGTAATGTATTGTTAGTGTTCTTCATCTTTATGCTGGAAAGCATCAATATCACCAAGAGACAAGAGATCATATTCTGTACTCAAATTTTAGAGGAGTGGCACTATTATTAATGAATTGAGCTAAAAGTGGTAGATGAGAACTTTTTCTAATAACGAGGATAAGAACCATTTCTGGATTAAACCAGAGTCAAGATGATATCAGGCATTTAATTTTAATGATGAGCTGGAATTTTTGCATAACAAAAATTATTGCTGCTGTCATGTCCACTGATGTAAAAATCACTATAAGGTTCCAGCACCTCAACTTATAACAATGATAACTTCTCGCATCCTACAGTACCACACTACATCACGAGGTACACCACGAGATCATACACTACAGTCACATCCTACAGTCACACCACACCTTGTCCTTGAGATCGTCTTGGAGTCGTTGCTTGGCGTCGTGAAGAACCCTTAGATGAGAGACAGCTTCAAGCAGTACCTTCTCCAGTTGTGCTCGGGACCTCTCCAGCACCTTCACCTCCTGGTGCAGTTCTATCTGTCAGCACAATTCTGCATTTTTATTATTACTATAATTATTATTATTATTATTATTATTATTTTATAATAATAATGATAATAATAATAATTATTATTATTATTATTATTATTATTATTATTATTATTATTATTATTATTATTATTATTATTTATTACAGTGTATTGTTATTAAAACTATTTTGGCAATTGATATTAAAATTATTGGCCGTCAGTGACAGGGGCCCTTTATGTCCATGGCTCCGTGAGATGGCAGTCGTGTCTCTCATGCTGATTGTTATACACGTCTATTAGCCCACTGCTCCCGGCATTTTAATGGGCTTTTACAACAAACATGGCTTCCGGAGGAAAGATTCTTATTCCACTTCCCCATGGAGATGAAAGGAAATAATAAGAACACGAACTATTAAGAAAAAAAAAAAAGAAAACTCTGATGAGTGTGTATACACAAACTTGTACATGCATGTGTAGTGTGACCTAAGCGTAAGTAGTAGCAAGATATACCTGTTATCTTGTGTGCTTATGAGACAGAAGTTGAAAGTGAATATATGTAAGAATAAGGTGATGAAGGTACCAAACGAGTTACGTGAGGAAAAAAGGAGGGAGGGAGTATGTAGGTAATGAATGTGTTCAGATATTTGGGAGTGGATGTGTCGGCGGATAGGTCTATGAAAGACGAAGTAAACCATAAAATTGATGAAGGGAAAAAGGTGGGTGGTGCACTGAGGTATCTGTGAAGACAAAAAAGGAAATGTATGAGAGTATAGTGGCACCAGCTCTTACATGGGTGTGAGACATAGATTGTGTATGTTGCAGTGAGGAGAAGGCTGGAGGCAGTGGAGATGTCGCGTCTGTGGGCAATGTGTCGCATAAATTGCAAAAAAAAAAAAAATCGTAGTTTGGAGATTAGGAGGTGCGGAGTTACTAAAAGTATTATCCAGAGGGCTGAGGGGTTGCTGAGGTAGTTTGGTCATTTAGAGAAGCTGGAGCAAAATAGAATGACTTGAAGTGGAGGGAAGGAGTGATAAGGATAAACCTAGGAAAGGATTGAGGTAAGAGGTAAAGGAGGTTTTGTATGCAAGGGGCTTGGACATACATCAGGCAGGCGTGAGCATGTTAAGAGTGGAAACGAATAGTTTTTGAGACACGATGAGCTGTTGGAGTGTGAGAAGGCAATATTTTGTGAAGGGATTCAGAGAAACTGGTTAGCCGGACTTGAGTTCTGGAGGTGGAAAGTACAATGCCTGCACTCTGGAGGAAGGGTTTGGGGTATTTGCTGTTTGGAGGGACATCTAAACTGTCATATCTACGCGCCTGTGGCAAGACAGTGATTGTATGAATGAGGGTGAAAGGTTTTTTTTTTCTGGGGGTCACCCTCCCTCGGGGGGGAGACGGTCAGAAATGTTAAAAAATCGGTTTTTTTCAGCGCACCCTCAACAAAAGTTGCGTTTTTGTACGAGTTATAAAATTGCCAAGAATGTAGGGGGGTTTGGAGAAAAAAAACTTTGAACACCTCCCCTGACTAAAATGCCCCAAATGACGAATAATCGATCTAGTTTGTGTTACAGGTCTCTTTTTGCGTTATTTTCCCAAAGGACGAAAATGTACCAATTCATCCAAAGGAGCTGTTAAAAAAATTGGAAAGGAGAACATGAAAGTGAATCGAACATTTGGGTTGCCCTCCACACTCCCCCCGGAAATTAAAATTATTCTAGCCATCTGTGGGGTTCATTTTGGAAAAAGTAAGTCGGAACCGATTTCCTCCCCCATCGTCTGTAAGAGTAAAAAACAAGTTTTGCTTGGGGAAATGGCTAAAATTTTTCCCCGGGTTTGCATTTCCCATTTCCTCGACAAATTTGGGATCCCTTTTTTTAGCTGAAAATTTGGGGGATAAAACTCCAAAATTAAAAATTAAAAAAAAAATTTTAAATTAGCCTTGGGGCTTAGGTGGTAGCGACTTCAGCTCATTTTTGAAAGGCCCCGGATTTGATTTTTGGGTACTATGGGGAAAAGTTTTGGGGAGTTCCCCCCTTGCCCCCATTGCACCTGTTGACATTGTTTACCTAAGGAAAAATATCTAGATGTTAGTGTCTTTTTTGAGTCCCCCATCCTGGGTAAAAGGAAACAAAGAACCCCCATGTGAATAAGAAAATAGTGCGTTTTCCCCTTTTTTTTTAAATTTTGTTTTATAAAAGATTTGGGAAAAATAAAAAGTCTGGGCTGAATTTGGTTTCTTTCCCCTTTATACTGGCCATGTAATTTCAGAAACGTAAGGCTGGAGGGGATGTCCTGGTAGTCTAAATGTGGGGCTGAAAAGTGCTGTTCCCGGGAGGGCAGTAAAGGGAAAACTGGAGGGGGCTGTCCCGGGAGACAGTAATGGGGAAGCTGGGGGGGTGCTGTCCGGGAAAACAGAAATGGGGAAGCTGGAGGTGCCCGTCCTGGAGGGCAGTAATGGTTTAAGCTGGAGAAGCGGCCTGGGGGACAGTAAGGGTGAAGTTGGAGATGCGCCCTGTGGGGACAGTAATGGTGAAGCTGGAGGGGCTGTCCTGGAAGACAGAAGGTAAGCTGGAGGTGCTGTCCTGGGAGACAGAAAAGGGGAAGCTGGAGGTGCTGTCCTGGGAGACAGTAATGGTGAAGCTGGAGATGCTGTCCTGGGAGACAGTAATGGTGAAGTTGGAGATGCTGCCCTGTGAGACAGTAATGGTGAAGCAGGAGGTGCTGTCCTGGAAGACAGTAATGGTGAAGCTGGAGATTTTGTCCAGGTAGTCGGGAATTATACGCAGGAAGAAATGCCTATAAATGACCTCATAGGGGACAGGAGCCGTAGTGGGGAAACAAGTGTAGTCAAAGATAAGATAAAACCAATATTGCAAACAAGAAATACAACAGGAAATAGCAAACAAGAGGACTCCACTAGCAATAGTGAGGATATATTACCAAAAACAACTGGTGGGAGCTCCATTGTTGGTGCTAGGGAAGATAGGAATAAGACAGGTAAACATGCACCAACAGGAATACAGTCACAGAAACCCAAGGCAAGCGGAAACCAAGCCTGTGCACATACTATGCACTTGGTATCTGCAGACATGGGAAATCTGGAAAAACAGATGGGACGTGCAACTATGACCACCCTAGAAAATGCCGTGCCCATATGACAACAGGAAAATGCAAACTCCCTTCCTGTAAGCTTTTTCACCCTGAAATGTGTACCTCTTCAGTACTGGAAAGACTGTGCTATAACTTAAATTGCCAGGCACACCATCTAAAGGGGACAAAAAGATACAAAACATCCAGGCCATGGGAAAACCTGGGTAGCCACAGCCACTCAAGAGGGAGAGGTTTTTTAGTGCCAGGAAGGAAAAAAAACTGGCAGGAAATGGCAGAAATTGTACACCAAATCCAGTCATTCCTGGAGTGGAACCACAGTCGATGGCCTCCACTCCAAACCAACAGATACAGATACTAATGCCGGAAAAAAAATCCCCCTCCCCAGTACCAACAATACCACCAGTCCGATGACATTCTTCTTGGCAAATATACAGGGTCTAAAGCCAGCAACAAACAACAAAATACCTTTCATCCGTGGACTGCTTGCAGAGGCAAAGGCAATGTTCGCGGCTTTCACTGAGACCCACATAAAGGATCACTTAGACAACGAAATATGGATCCCAGGTTACAACCTATACAGATGTGACAGAGTGAACAGGCAAAAGGGGGGGGGGGTTGGCCTGTACATTGCAGAGTCACTTGTTTGCACAGAACTGCTCAATGCCTCAAATGATGTAGTGGAAGTTTTAGCAGTAAAGGTCGAGAACCAAAACCTAGTCATTGTGGTAGTCTACAAGCCTCCGGATGCAACATCCCAGCAATTCCAGGAACAGCTGTTAAAAATTGACCACTGTCTGGAAAATCTTCCAGCTCCTGCACCCAACATCTTGCTCCTGGGGGATTTCAACTTAAGGCACCTAAAATGGAGGAATATAGCAAATAATAGTGTTGCAGTAATAACACCAGGAGGCAGCTCTGATGAAAACTCACACTCACATGAGCTTTTAAATCTCTGCACAAAATTCAATTTAAACCAGCAAATAATAGAGCCTACTAGAATGGAGAATACACTAGACCTCATCTTCACTAACAATGATGATCTGATAAGAAATGTCACCATATCAAAAACAATATACTCAGATCACAACATAATTGAGGTTCAGACATGTATGCGCAGAGCCCCAGACCGACAAAATGAGATTAGTCACGAGGGAGCATTCACCAAATTCAACTTCAATATCAAAAACATAAAGTGGGACCAAGTAAACCAAGTCCTAACCGATATAAGCTGGGAAGATATACTAAGCAACACAGACCCCAACTTATGCCTAGAACAGATTAACTTGGTGGCACTCGATGTATGCACAAGACTTATTCCTCTAAGAAAAAGGAGGAGTAGATGTAAAATAGAAAGAGACAGGCGCTCTCTTTACAGGCGACGGAAAAGAATAACAGAGCGGCTAAAAGAGGTCAATCTATCTGAAATGCGTAGGGAGACACTGGTCAGAGAAATAGCAAACATCGAACTTAAGCTAAAGGAATCTTATAGGAGTCAGGAATCGCGGGAAGAACTAAAAGCCATAAATGAAATCGAAAGAAACCCAAAGTATTTCTTCTCCTATGCCAAATCAAAGTCGAGAACAACGTCCAGTATTGGGCCCTTACTTAAACAAGATGGGTCCTACACAGATGACAGCAAGGAAATGAGTGAGCTACTCAAGTCCCAATATGACTCAGTTTTTAGCAAGCCACTAACCAGACTGAGAGTCGAAGATCAAAATTAATTTTTTATGAGAGAGCCACAGAATTTGGTTAACACAAGCCTATCTGATGTTATCCTGATGCCAAATGACTTCGAACAGGCGATAAATGACATGCCCATGCACTCTGCCCCAGGGCCAGACTCATGGAACTCCGTGTTCATCAAGAACTGCAAGAAGCCCCTATCACGAGCCTTTACCATCCTATGGAGAGGGAGCATGGACACGGGGGTCGTCCCACAGTTACTAAAAACAACAGACATAGCCCCACTCCACAAAGGGGGCAGTAAAGCAACAGCAAAGAACTACAGACCGATAGCACTAACATCCCATATCATAAAAATCTTTGAAAGAGTCCTAAGAAGCAAGATCACCACCCATCTAGAAACCCATCAGTTACACAACCCAGGGCAACATGGGTTTAGAACAGGTCGCTCCTGTCTGTCTCAACTATTGGATCACTACGACAAGGTCCTAGATGCACTAGAAGACAAAAAGAATGCAGATGTAATATATACAGACTTTGCAAAAGCCTTTGACAAGTGTGACCATGACGTAATAGCGCACAAAATGCGTGCTAAAGGAATAACAGGAAAAGTCGGTCGATGGATCTATAATTTCCTCACTAAGAGAACACAGAGAGTAGTAGTCAACAGAGTAAAGTCCGAGGCAGCTACGGTGAAAAGCTCTGTTCCACAAGGCACAGTACTCGCTCCCATCTTGTTCCTCATCCTCATATCTGACATAGACAAGGATGTCAGCCACAGCACCGTGTCTTCCTTTGCAGATGACACCCGAATCTGCATGACAGTGTCTTCCATTGCAGACACTGCAAGGCTCCAGGCGGACATCAACCAAATCTTTTAGTGGGCTGCAGAAAACAATATGAAGTTCAACGATGAGAAATTTCAATTACTCAGATATGGTAAACACGAGGAAATTAAATCTTCATCAGAGTACAAAACAAATTCTGGCCACAAAATAGAGCGAAACACCAACGTCAAAGACCTGGGAGTGATCATGTCGGAGGATCTCACCTTCAAGGACCATAACATTGTATCGATCGCATCTGCTAGAAAAATGACAGGATGGATAATGAGAACCTTCAAAACGAGGGATGCCAAGCCCATGATGACACTCTTCAGGTCACTTGTTCTATCTAGGCTGGAATATTGCTGCACACTAACAGCACCTTTCAAGGCAGGTGAAATTGCTGACCTAGAAAATGTACAGAGAACCTTCACGGCGCGTATAACGGAGATTAAACACCTCAATTACTGGGAGCGCTTGAGGTTCCTGAACCTGTATTCCCTGGAACGCAGGTGGGAGAGATACATGATTATATACACCTGGAAAATCCTAGAGGGACTAGTACCGAACTTGCACACGAAAATCACTCACTACGAAAACAAAAGACTTGGCAGACGATGCAACATCCCCCCAATGAAAAGCAGGGGTGTCACTAGCACGTTAAGAGACCATACAATAAGTGTCAGGGGCCCGAGACTGTTCAACTGCCTCCCAGCATACATAAGGGGGATTACCAACAGACCCCTGGAAGTCTTCAAGCTGGCACTGGACAAGCACCTAAAGTCGGTTCCTGATCAGCAGGGCTGTGGCTCGTACGTTGGTTTGCGTGCAGCCAGCAGTAACAGCCTGGTTGATCAGGCTCTGATCCACCAGGAGGCCTGGTCACAGACCGGGCCGCGGGGGCGTTGACCCCCGGAACTCTCTCCAGGTAAACTCCAGGTAATCCAAATAAAAACCTCCATCATTCCTCTTAGGTTAGTTTACCTTGACCCAAATCAACCGAACATAATAAAAAACTCATAAAATCCTTGATCAGGGAGGATTAAGAAAATAACGGCACATGGAATATGAGAAATCATCTGGTTCCAGGCATGGCTAACTGATAGGCAGCAGAGAGTTTGAATAAATGGAGTGAAATCGGAGTGGAAATCAGTTACGAGTGGTGTGCCACAGGAGTCAATGCTAGGACCCTTGTTGTTCACAGTCTATATAAACGACATTGGTGAGGGAATAAAGAGCGACATAAATAAGGTTGCCGATGACACTTAAAATATGCCGTCAAATAATTTCCGATGTTGACACTAGAAAGCTTCAAGATAACCCGGATAAGTTGATGTTGTGCTCATAGAAATGGCAGTTCAGTGCAGACAAGTGTAAGGTTCGAATATAAAGAAAAGGATATCAGGAAGTACTGGATGAGTCGAACAAACTCCCAGGTAACGTCACCGAGGCACAAACTTTGGGTAACTTTAAATATAGGTTGACTGGTACATTGAGTGGATGTGGGGAGAGGGGGGTGAGTTGGACCTACACAACATGGGGCCAACAGGCCTACTGCTGTAGTGTTCCTTCGTTCTTACCTGGAGTTTACCTGGAGAGAGTTCCGGGGGTCAACGCCCCCGCGGCCCGGTCTGTGACCAGGCCTCCTGGTGGATCAGAGCCTGATCAACCAGGCTGTTGCTGCTGGCTGCACGCAAACCAACGTACGAGCCACAGCCCGGCTGGTCAGGAACCGACTTTAGGTGCTTGTCCAGTGCCAGCTTGAAGACTGCCAGGGGTCCGTTGGTAATCCCCCTTATGTATGCTGGGAGGCAGTTGAACAGTCTCGGGCCCCTGACACTTATTGTACGGTCTCTTAACGTGCTAGTGACACCCCTGCTTTTCATTGGGGGGATGTTGCATCGTCTGCCAAGTCTTTTGCTTTCGTAGTGAGTGATTTTCGTGTGCATGTTCGGTACTAGTCCCTCTAGGATTTTCCAGGTGAATATAATCATGTATCTCTCCCGCCTGTGTTCCAGGGAATACAGTTTTAGGAACCTCAAGCGCTCCCAGTAATTGAGGTGTTTTATCTCCGTTATGCGCGCCGTGAAGGTTCTCTGTACATTTTCTAGGTCAGCAATTTCACCTGCCTTGAAAGGTGCTGTTAGTGTGCAGCAATATTCCAGCCTAGATAGAACAAGTGACCTGAAGAGTGTCATCATGGGCTTGGCCTCCCTAGTTTTGAAGGTTCTCATTATCCATCCTGTCATTTTTCTAGCAGATGCGATTGATACAATGTTATGGTCCTTGAAGGTGAGATCCTCCGACATGATCACTCCCAGGTCTTTGACGTTGGTGTTTCGCTCTATTTTGTGGCCAGAATTTGTTTTGTACTCTGATGAAGATTTAATTTCCTCGTGTTTACCATATCTGAGTAATTGAAATTTCTCATCGTTGAACTTCATATTGTTTTCTGCAGCCCACTGAAAGACTCGGTTGATGTCCGCCTTGCAGTGTCTGCAATGGAAGACACTGTCATGCAGATTCGGGTGTCATCTGCAAAGGAAGACACGGTGCTGTGGCTGACATCCTTGTCTATGTCGGATATGAGGATGAGGAACAAGATGGGAGCGAGTACTGTGCCTTGTGGAACAGAGCTTTTCACCGTAGCTGCCTCGGACTTTACTCTGTTGACGACTACTCTCTGTGTTCTGTTAGTGAGGAAATTATAGATCCATCGACCGACTTTTCCTGTTATTCCTTTAGCACGCATTTTGTGCGCTATTACGCCATGGTCACACTTGTCGAAGGCTTTTGCAAAGTCTGTATATATTACATCTGCATTCTTTTTATCTTCTAGTGCATTTAGGACCTTGTATCAGCGGCAAGATAAACACAACAGTGTCGTTAAGTCAATGAGGCTCGATCAGCGAATATTTTCGAATGATCGTAATTCGTTTCAGCGTTGTGCTAAATATATTTTGTCTGATTTGTATAACAAAAGTATGCAGTGCTGCGGTTAACAATAGGCTAATACTCGACCTAACTCCCTCCCGCTTCCCATCCTTTTCCTCAATATATCTTCTCTTCTAAATCTTCTGTCATATTAAACAGCCAAGAAAGCTAAAACACAAGGAACTGGGGATGCATCTCCCCGTGCCACTGCCACTGCTACACCACAAGACGAAGTCCGCGTCCTGACTGGTGTATACTTCTACACAACCAACCAGTACAAGAGCCCAATGCAGTCTTCGGAGCTTAAACAGCGACTCCAGGACGGAACAGTCAAGTACACCTATGACCCAAATATTTCATATACCACTGCAGACCTGAACAGACTACTCACTGCACCCCGCCTTATGGCAGTCGATTACACCTCAAGGAAGAAATTCAGGACGCTCCAGAATGGGTCCCGTGAAGACGGTACCCTCCTCTAGCACGACTATCCATGACCACCCACCATGAAGATAAGTTTCCCCAGCACTTTGCTGCCTGCTAAAGCTGGGGTGTGGCTCCAATCGACCCTGTAATTGCTGCCTCTGCCCGCCTGCGCTTCTGAAGCGAGAAGACACTTCCCTCCTGGTAAGTCAGCGCAAGATAGAAGAAGACATCCTCCAACCGGAGGGCCCAAGAAAGAAGAAAGAAGAAGATGAACGTCACCCCCCACCCGGGGGGCCACTGCCGGGTCACCATCTGGAGAAGGCCCGGGCCGGAAGTACCAGCGAATCAACATGAATGAATGAGTGGGTTGTAGAAAGGGGTATGTACCTCCGGTTGATCATGCACAAGATCTGCCTCCCTGCGCCTCTCCCTCAGTGTGAGACACTCCATGGCCGTATTGAGGGGAGCAATCCGCGCCTCCGTCTCTGCTTCCGTCGTTTCCTTGGCTACCTCCAGCTTCCTGATCTCCCCGGAGACCTGCGGCAGTAAGAGGAGGAAGAAGGTGATCTGGGTACTGATATAGTTTGCGATGTTCCTTCAGTTTATGTGTCACCAATGTATACAGCACAGTATAAAATTCTGATAGTTCTACATGCACTTATACCAAGTAACTTATATTTTTTCTGATGTAATTAGGCTGTTGCCACACTACATGCTACTTTAATAGTTTTAACGTGTAGAGATCTTATTTTAGAGCATTAAAAGAAAATGTAAGGTCAGTCTTTCACTACATGCCTAGTTGCTAGCATAAATTAAAACTTCTAGATGCACTGAATGAGGTCGCAATGAGTAAAGTTTGCTGACCTGCTCGAGGGATCGTTGCAGGTCATTAGTGACTCGCTGTAGCTCGTAGATACGGTCTTGAAGGCGAGTTGTATTGTCATCCTGGTCCCACCATGTCTTATTCCGCATCTGTATACACACTTGCCAAGCTTAATTATTTCTGTTCAGATAACGTTTATTTAAACTAAATGGAAAAGACAATGTAATTAGCATGATGCAATAAAATGCATACGATATGAAAATAAAACATGCGTATGTTGATGTACAGGTGATAGTTTTTGTTGCAGTGCTTTAAGGGCTTTCTCGCAGTGCAATCCAAATTAGTTAACTATATTTTCTCACTACACATTACTATTTTATTTTGAGCTGTCTAATTTGTTTCCTTAATGTGCAATCACTGCAAAACTTAAACGGGCCATTATCAAGTTGAATGTCTCATCAATAAAACTACATCACCATATAAATGTAAACAATATCATGAACCTGGATCAGCAAATTATGATATCCTACCTGGTCTCGGAGGTGATGTGACTGATGACGGAGGTTGTGAGAGGTGGTGCAGGTGTCTTCACTGGCCTGACGGAGGGAAGAGTTGTTCCGGTGCCAGTCATCAGGCTGGTGTCGCATCACTGACTTCTCTACCTTCATCCTTCTTCTATTTCTGTCACTTCTGTATCATGGAATATATAACAGCCAAGGTTCATTTCACGGGGTATTGCACTGATATGTTTTTAATTATAGCATGATCATCCTTACCGTTACGGTCTTACTTCTGCCTCATGGCCTGACTGGCTAAACTCTTGCTTCACACGCTGGGAGTCCGGGTTCGATTCCCGGCAGAGGTGAAAAGATTGAACGCGTTTCTTTACACCTGTTGTCCTGTTCACCTAGCAAGTAGATACCAGGATGTTAGTCGCCTGTGTGGGTCGCACCCAGGGTAACAAAAGAGTCAGTGCATCATCGAGGGACTTATTACCCCAGTGGAAATAAGTCTCTCAATGACCCACTGACTTTCTTGGGTTATCCAGGGTGGCTAACCCTTTTGAGTTAAAAATCCAAACTAAATCTTATCTTATCACAAGATTGTCGTGATATATTATTTCATTCATTACAGTACTACACTTGAATATACAGTCTTCAGAAAGCGTATGCAAATGTTGGTAGAAAATAAAGAAAAACTAATTTTCATCAAAATAAATTTTAGAATTATTAATAAATATATATTGTTACCCAAGCCACACAGGATCAAACCATCAGGCTGTTGCTGTCTTATTTTTTTTCCTATCTGTAAGACAGCGGTTGTCAGCGTGTCCTGGGAGTCCTGAGCTAAGTTCAAAATTTTAAGAGGCCGCAGAATGAAAATATATAATTACTCAAGATAAGGCTGATAAAGATAAACTGAGGAAATAAGAAAGTTTTTCATTCACTTACAAGTTTTAGGGATTGTTTTCCCTCTTCCTGGTGCCAATAACAAGGGATTGTTTTCCCTCTTCCTGGTGCCAATAACAAGGGATTGTTTTCCCTCTTCCTGGTGCCAATAACAAGGGATTGTTTTCCCTCTTCCTGGTGCCAATAACAAGGAATTATTTTCCCTCTTCCTGGTGCCAATAACAAGGGATTATTTTCTCTCTTCCTGGTGCCAATAACAAGGAATTATTTTCCCTCTTCCTGGTGCCAATAACAAGGGATTATTTTCTCTCTTCCTGGTGCCAATAACAAGGGATTATTTTCCCTCTTCCTGGTGCCAATAACAAGGGATTATTTTCCCTCTTCCTGGTGCCAATAACAAGGAATTATTTTCCCTCTTCCTGGTGCCAATAACAAGGAATTATTTTCCCTCTTCCTGGTGCCAATAACAAGGAATTATTTTCCCTCTTCCTGGTGCCAATAACAAGGGATTATTTTCCCTCTTCCTGGTGCCAATAACAAGGAATTATTTTCCCTCTTCCTGGTGCCAATAACAAGGAATTATTTTCCCTCTTCCTGGTGCCAATAACAAGGGATTATTTTCCCTCTTCCTGGTGCCAATAACAAGGGATTGTTTTCCCTCTTCCTGGTGCCAATAACAAGGGATTATTTTCCCTCTTCCTGGTGCCAATAACAAGGGATTATTTTCCCTCTTCCTGGTGCCAATAACAAGGGATTGTTTTCCCTCTTCCTGGTGCCAATAACAAGGAATTATTTTCCCTCTTCCTGGTGCCAATAACAAGGGATTATTTTCCCTCTTCCTGGTGCCAATAACAAGGGATTATTTTCTCTCTTCCTGGTGCCAATAACAAGGAATTATTTTCCCTCTTCCTGGTGCCAATAACAAGGGATTATTTTCTCTCTTCCTGGTGCCAATAACAAGGGATTATTTTCCCTCTTCCTGGTGCCAATAACAAGGGATTATTTTCCCTCTTCCTGGTGCCAATAACAAGGGATTGTTTTCCCTCTTCCTGGTGCCAATAACAAGGGATTATTTTCCCTCTTCCTGGTGCCAATAACAAGGGATTATTTTCCCTCTTCCTGGTGCCAATAACAAGGGATTGTTTTCCCTCTTCCTGGTGCCAATAACAAGGAATTATTTTCCCTCTTCCTGGTGCCAATAACAAGGAATTATTTTCCCTCTTCCTGGTGCCAATAACAAGGGATTATTTTCCCTCTTCCTGGTGCCAATAACAAGGAATTATTTTCCCTCTTCCTGGTGCCAATAACAAGGAATTATTTTCCCTCTTCCTGGTGCCAATAACAAGGGATTGTTTTCCCTCTTCCTGGTGCCAATAACAAGGGATTGTTTTCCCTCTTCCTGGTGCCAATAACAAGTGTATTAGGTATGATTTCTTGTAGATATGTAAAAATTAATAGACTTAACTGCAAATAAAAAATGATCTTGTCGAACTTTAGTGTGACACCTCACTGATTTTTGGCTGCATGTGAAAAATGAGTATACCTGGAGGGTTACCGGGGGTCAACGCCCCCGCGGCCCAGTCCAGGCCTCGCGTTCGATCAAGGCCAGATCAACCAGTCTGTTATTGCTGGCCACGCGCAAACCGACGTACGAACCACAGCCCAGCTGATCAGGTAGTGACTTTAGATGCCTGTCCAGTTTCCTCTTGAAGACAGTTAGGGGTCTATTAGTAATCCTCTTTATGTATGATGGAAGGCAGTTGAACAGTCTTGGGCCCCTGACACATACTGTGTTGTCTCTTGCGTACTCATGGCACCCCTTCTCTTAATTGGGGAAGGGGAAGTATTTCAGAGCCTGCCGAGTCTTTTGCTGTCGTAGGGAGTAATTTCCGTGTGCAGATTTGGTACTAGTCCCTCTAGGATTTTTCAAGTGTATATTATCATGTATCTTTCTCGCCTGCGTTCCAAGGAGTACAGGTCAAGGGACTTCAACCGTTCCCAGTAATTTAGGTGCTTTATTGTACTTGCATGTGCAGTGAAAGTTCTGTATATTCTCCAGGTATGCAATTTCGCCTGCCTTGAAAGGGGCCGTTAGTGTACAGCCATACTTCAGCCTAGAGAGAACAAACGATTTGAAGAGAATCGTCATTGGCTTGGCATCCCTAGTGTTGAAGGTTCTCGCTGTCCATCCTATCATTTTCCTAGCAGATGTGGAGGAGACATTGTTGTGATCTTTGAAAGTGAGATTCTCTGACATTATCACTCCCAGGTCCTTCACATTGCCAGAACTGGTATCTAAAACACTGAAATATTTGATGACATTCCCACTACATATTTATGTGAGCAGGCTTTCTCCCGGCTGTTTTATATAAAATCAAAATACAGACGCATGATGAATGTGAAACCTGGTCTATGCTTATAACTGTCTGTCATTGAACCTGAAATTCGGAACATAGTGTCATCAAAATAACGTCAACCATCTCATTGAAAAAGTATTTTTTTAATACTGCCGTTTATTTAATTGTATACTCAGTTACGTATGTCTTTCAATTGAGAAATGAAACTAAGAAAGCGAGTTTGTTGTTATTTAATAAAGTCGGCTTGTTGAGTAGATAGACCTTTCAAGAACCTGGGGGTCTATGGGAAAATTAATTTAAATAATAGGGGTCCTTAACGTCACATTAGTTGCTTTTGTGTCCTTTTACCTAACATATTGTGGATAATTCTACCAACATTATTACAACTTGACACAGACTCTTCTGAATGGCATCAAACATTCCTACTGGTGTATCCTTCTTGGGATTATTATTGACGTGTGTACGTGCCTATCTGCCAATTTTAATTTTAAAATTATTTATGTATTACATAAAATATCTTGATTATGCCTCACTAATCGGTATCAGTCCTCAACAGCTGATAGAAATTTACAAATAGATAGTTAAAAAGCTATGAATAGCTGGCCTCTGTACGATAAGTAAAGAATGCCTTATCTGGTAGGTTTCAAACTTTGATTTGTTAATGGGTTGCATACAACTAAATTTGCGAATATTGTTAGGCAAATTGTGAAACTGATTTCCATTCAAAAAAAAAAAACTATAGAACACCACTTCTGATCATCAATAAAATGCTGATGCATTTTTTTTATTCGTCGGTACTCTCCCGGCCCGGGTCTTTTCCAATAGTGGTGACCCGGCCTTGGCTCCCTATCTGGGGAGTGTCTCGAGACCTAAGTCTCCCATGGGAGGTGGTACAAGTACCCCCTCATCTTTGGGACCAACTGTCCCCAGGCCTAGCCACAGTCCCCGCCCTCACGGGGCTCGTAGGGAATTTATTAGGAGGTGGCCCGGTGGCCTGGTGGCTAAAGCTCCCGCTTCACACACGGAGGGCCCGGGTTCGATTCCCGGCGGGTGGAAACATTTCGACACGTTTCCTTACACCTGTTGTCCTGTTCACCTAGCAGCAAATAGGTACCTGGGTGTTAGTCGACTGGTGTGGGTCGCATCCTGGGGGACAAGATTAAGGACCCCAATGGAAATAAGTTAGACAGTCCTCGATGACGCACTGACTTTCTTGGGTTATCCTGGGTGGCTAACCCTCCGGGGTTAAAAATCCGAACGAAATCTTATCTTATCTTCTCTTACCCTATTAGTTTAGGGTAAGTAAGCATACATTTTCCAACATTTTAATAAAAAAAAATTGGACTCCCTGGATTCCTTGTAAAAACTTTAGAATGGTTCTTTTATTACAGCGTTATGCTTACAGAAAGAAATAAAATTTAGGTTTGCTTGTTAGCACGAAGTTACAAATTTTATTTATATAGTTTCTGGACTATCATATTCATTTTTCAGGAACACTAAGAAAATCAGTTATCAAGACTTTTAAAATAGTTTAAACCCACAGAATATAATTAATTATGCAATTCCCTTTATTTTTTTCAGGAAGTACTACCATTTTCCTTACGTAAAACCTTCAACAAACTAGATGTATTTCTGTTGCTACACAGTCCAAGAAAGTATCCCCATATTACATAATCCTTGGCTCCTGCAAACAGTAGGAACAGTGCAGAGTTTGGCATAAGTTTTTAATGCAGTTAACCACTAGACGTGTTTCGGTCACTGTGCCATCCTAGAAAGGTATTTCCTGTATTCCATAAGCCCGGTCCCCTGTACGTCAGTGTGCGTGGTTCAGTGCAGAGTGCGGCGGCTCAAGTTTGTACCATTCTTGTACTACTACTACTACTACTACTACTACTACTACTACTACTACTACTACTACCATCACCTCTTCCTGCCTATATATAGCCGTCCTACTCCACCTCTGGTTAGTGTGACTTTGTCAATGGTCCAAGTCGGACCGAAACGTCGTCGTAAGCTTCTCTCTTTTATGTGCGGGTTATTTGTGTTTAGGTAAGTGTTAGCTTTGAAGATTTGATGAAAATCAGAAGAGTCATTCACAAGTCATCATTTTTTTTTATTAACACACTGGCCGATTCCCACCAAGGCAGGGTGGCCCGAAAAAGAAAAACTTTCACCATCATTCACTCCATCACTGTCTTGCCAGAAGGGTGCTTTACACTACAGTTTTTAAACTGCAACATTAACACCCCTCCTTCAGAGTGCAGGCACTGTACTTCCCATCTCCAGGACTCAAGTCCGGCCTGCCGGTTTCACTGAACCCCTTCATAAATGTTACTTTGCTCACACTCCAACAGCACGTCAAGTATTAAAAACCATTTGTCTCCATTCACTCCTATCAAGTCATCATATGGAGACTAATATCAAAATTTTTTGAATTAATACACAAATAACCCACACACAGGTTTATGACGATGTTTCGGTCCGACTTGAATCATTTACAAAGTCGGGTTATTTGTGTGTTTTTCCAGTCACGGTATTGTGTCTTCAATAAAAATGGTAAATTTTGATACACAGACCAAAACTAATTAAAACCTTCCACTAAAAAACACCAGTTTTGAAGCTAAACTGACGAGACATTCTAGTGTTATCTCTAAGAGACCAATATCCTAAAACACACCAGGATGTTAAACTTGACGCCGCTCATATGTTGCATTAACAATTATGTTGAACTTGACGCCACTCATATGTTGCATTAACAATTATGTTGAACTTGACGCCGCTCATATGTTGCATTAACAATTATGTTGAACTTGACGCCGCTCATATGTTGCATTAACAATTTATCAACGTTGAAGGGTTGATGTTAATTGGATGCAACATTTTGAAATTATCGCATTAATAAACATATTAAACTAACTAACACTCGCATTACAAGTAGCATTTCAACTTTTTTTTTATAAGAAAAAATAAAGTTGGATCTATACAAGCCATAAATCATTCTATCATTTTCTCTAAGATTGACCAACGTTTAAGAGAATAAGAATATAAATAAATAGATTAATACGAAGGTACAGTAAATAATTTTCGATAAGCCTTAGATATCAAGATCACATTTTTTTTACAAAGGTGTCCAGAGCTCACATGTTAATGGGCGCATAAAAATACATTATGTGGATTTAACATAGAATAACTAAATAAAGTCAGTCACTGTGACTTATTTCTGACCAGAAGAGACATACTTCAGTTACTCCACGGAAACCAATTTGATTAATAAAATCGGCACATTATAACGTACACAGCATCAACGTGAAGTTTAAGGGATAACACACCAGAACTAAAAGTTTAGAGCTGACCTGAAGATGCATTCTCCAGTTATTGCACAGAATGCAACAACATTTGCAACTACAAAGCCTGTTCCTTAAAAAATAGGTTTCATTCATTTCGTACGATGTATCAGATATTAATGATTGAGGCCGTTTACAGTTGTTCCGTTTTTTCATTGGGAAAAGAGCTAAACCCGTAGCGGGTCATATAGCACCTGTGGAATGGGAGACATTCAGATTCCATCCATGTTAGTTTAATATGTTTATTATGCACACCATACCCATCCTATGGGCGGTAGTCAAAAGATTACAAAGGTACATAATGGGTCCAGGGACTGGACCCCAAAGTTATGATAGCTGAACTAGTTACAAAGGTAATGAACTCCAGGTAGATCTGGTCACAATCATGGCATCCATGGCAGAGGAAGATAAGTCTAGTTCCTTGGATCACGAACCCTTCACTAGCATCAAAGCAAAATAATGCAATAATGAAAAATCCCTTTGGAAAATTTTAATTTGCGAATTTTATTAAATTGTTTCAAATGTTATAGCTAGAGAATGCCTCTTCTTATCGTCTTCAAACCCTCAGTAAGGAAGTATCTTAATTGGAAGTATTTTTTAATTTATTTTGGGTTTTGTGGGTGTCAATTTGCCAATTGGCACCCACAAATGGCTTACCAGTCCACCCCATTAAAAATTAAGGTTATAACCATTTATTAAACCTGTATGGGTCATACAGCGGTGCCTGTAAGAACGCATTAGTTCAGATTCGGGCCCTGGAAGAGGGTAGGTCAAATTCCTTGGATATAGAGCTTTTCACGAGCGCCAGGAACCGTCCTGGAGAGGCCTTCATGGTGCTGATCTCCAGCTCCTGGGCTTCATGAGGGAAGGTCGAACTATAGCCCCTGGATTTCCTTAGGAAGATTAGCTGCAGGTCCTCTGCCTCCTGAGGGTTTAGAGATTAAACTGCTATCCCTCTTGCGTGGATTTAGGCGGCTTGGATTACACGATATATGGAATACCTTTCTCGGGTCGTGCATTACCTTTGTAACTAGTTCAGCTATCATAACTTTGAGGTCCAGTCCCTGGATCCATTATGTACCTCTGTAATCTTTTGACTACCGCCCACAGGATGGGTATGGTGTGCATAATAAACATATTAAACTAACGGATCGTGCAACGATGAAAATGTATCTAGTTTACACTTAAGTTTAATTTGTTATACTAGATAATGGGTATGTGAATAAGTAAGAAATTGTTGTTACCTGAACGAGAAATAGTGTTGCCCCACCGTCTTATTTTTCCTTATACCTTTTGTACTGCAGTGAGCTGAGAGATTTGTTCTCACTATGACTACGTCCAGCAAGTGTGATGCAGCGTCCCTAGCAACCTGCCCTAGTAACTCGTCCTAGCAACCCTCCCTAGCAACCACTCTGCACCCTTTGCATTCATTGACCCCTCACGGAAGGTTCCTTGAAGTTGGTGAGGGGCTCTTGATTTAGGGAATTGGATCTGTGCTTCAGTTCCCCGAATTAAGCCTGAATGACTTTCACATCCCCCCCGGCGCTGCATAATCCTACGGGTTTAGCGCTTCTCCTTGATTATAATAACAGTAATAATGCATTCATTGAGGAAGAGGGAGCTGGGTTTATGGAATAGATATATATATATACCTTTCTTAGATTACTGAGGCAGTTACCTATAGGTGCTCGCTTCTGGGGGTTACTGCCATCATGGCCCGGTCCTAGACCAGGCCTGCCAGTTGCTGGCCTGATCGACCAGACTGTTGGTGCTTGGTGCCAGCAGTCCAACACATGTACTACAGTCCGGATGATCAAAAAATGGCTTAAGAAATTTGTCCTACCTGATCCTCATCTGATTTAATTCTCCTCATTAACTTCACATCTGCGAACAGGGACACTTCTGAGTCTAACCCTTCCATCATGTCATTCACATATACCAGAAATAGCACTGGTCCTACGACCAACCCCTGTAGAATCCCGCTCGTCACAGGTGCCCACTGTGATACCTCATCACGTACCATGACTCGTTGTTGCCTCCCTGTCAGGTATTCTCTGATCCATTGCAGTGCCCTTCCTGTTATACACGCCTGATCCTCTAGTTTCTGCACTAATCTCCTGTGAGGAACTGTGTCGAAGGCCTTCTTGCAGTCCAAGAAGATGCAATCAACCCACCCGTTTCTCTCGTGTCTTACTTCTGTTACTTTATCATAAAACTCCAGTAGGTACTCATCTAATTGTGGTTGCAGGGGTCGAGACTCAGCTCCTGGCCCCGCCTCTTCACTGATCGCTACTAGGCCCTCTCTCTCTCTGCGTCTGAGCTTTGTCATACCTCGTCTTAAAGCTATGTATGGTTCCTGCCTCCACTACGTCACTTGCTAGGCTATTTCACTTCCTGACGACTCTATGACTGAAGAAATACTTCCTAACATCCCTCTGACTCGTCTGAGCCTTCAGCTTCCAATTGTGACCCCTTGTTTCTGTGTCCCCTCTCTTGAACATCCAGTCTCTGTCCACCTTATCTATTCCACGCAGTATCTTGTATGTCGTTATTATGTCTCCCCTGACCCTTCTGTCCTCCAGTGTCGTCAGTCCGATTTCCCTCAACCTTTCATCGTAGGACATTTCCCTGAGCTCTGGAACTAGCCTTGATGCAAACCTTTGTACTTTCTCTAACTTCTTGACTTGCTTGACCAGGTGTGGGTTCCAAACTGGTGCTGCATACTCCAGTATGGGCCTAACGTACACAGTGTACAGTGTCTTGAATGATTCCTTATTAAGATATCGAAACGCTATTCTTAGGTTTGCCAGGCACCCATATGCTGAAGCAGTTATCTGGTTGATGTGTGCCTCCGGTGACGTGCTCGGTGTATAAAAGGATTTGTTTGGTGTTCTGGTAGCGGGGAGTAAATGATACGTCTTCGGAGGCTTCTTACTTTATTGTTAAGTCGTGGTGGGTACACAGGCTTGTGTGTTGTGCCCATGGCCCGGGCAGGGCCATCCCACGAGCGAGAGCTAGGAGTAGGCCTTGTGTCTTCCTGCTAGGCCGCTGTGAGAAATAGGCAAGGGCATGCAGGCTGACGTGCCCACCGAGAGGCCTAGCTACAGAGGGCAGCACCTTAGTGGCACGAAATATGAACTAAGCTGGCAGACAGCATGGGCTGTCTGTGCAGACAGTACAGGCTGTGTACATACGCTCGGCCACCTACCGCGCGTCGTCCCGATGCGCCTAGTTGAGGTTGCAGGGATCGATTCATAGCTCCTGGCCCCTCCACTTCACTGGCCGCTACTGGGTCACTCTCCCTGCACTATGAGCTTTATCATACCTCTGCTTAAAGCTATGTGTGTTTGTGCGTGTGTACTCACCTAATTGTGGTTATAGGGGTCGAGACTCAGCTCCTCCCCCACCCCCCATGTGTGTGTACTCACCTAATTGTGGTTGCAGGGGTCGAGACTCAGCTCCTGGCCCCGCCTCTTCACCGACCGTTACTAGGTCCTCTCTCCCCCTGCTCCACGAGCTTTATCATATCTCGTCTTAAAACTATGTATAGTTCCTGCCTCCATTACATCGCTTGCCAGACTATTCCACTTCCTAACTACTCTGTGACTGAAGAAATACTTCCTAACATCCCTTTGACTCATCTGAGTCTTCAGCTTCCAATTATGACCCCTTGTTTCTGTGTCCCATCTCTGGAGCATCCTGTCTCTGTCCACCTTGTCTATTCCACGTAGTATTTTGTATGTCGTTATCATGTCTCCCCTGACCCTCCTGTCCTCCAGTGTTGTCAGACCGATTTCCCTTAACCTTTCCCCATAGGACGTTCCCCTTAGCTCTGGAACTAGCCTTGTTGCAAACCTTTGCACTTTCTCTAATTTCTTGACGTGTTTGACCAGGTGTGGGTTCCGAACTGGTGCTGCATACTCCAGTATGGGCCTGACGTACACAGTGTATAAAGTCTTGAAGGATTCCTTACTGACGTACCGGAATGCTATTCTCAGGTTTGCCAAGCGCCCTTATGCCGCAGCCATAATACCAACTTACCTCATAATTTGTAATATTTTAAAATAAAGAATTAAACTAAGTCTGCCCGAAATGCCTAGCCATGCTAGGCGTTCTAGTGGTACACTCTGTAATCATTATTTAACTACATGTAAACCACACAACAACCAAATTCTGTAAATTCAACATTGTAATCTTTATAGAGAATAAACTTTGAATTTGAATTTGAATTTGAATGTGTGCTTCTGGCGATGTACTCGGTATTATACTCACTCCTAGGTCTTTCTCCTTGAGTGAGGTTTGCAGCCTTTGGCCACCTAGCTTATACTCTGTCTGCAGTCTTCTTTGCCCTCCTCCGATCTTCATGACTTTGCATTTGGCGGGGTTAAATTCTAGGAGCCAGTTTCTGGACCACACATCCAGCCTGTCTAGGTCTCTTTGTAGACCTATCTGGTCCACGTCTGATTTAATTCTCCTCATTAACTTCACGTTATCTGCAAACAGGGACACTTCTGAGTCTATCCCTTCCGTCATGTCGTTCACATATACCAAGAATAGCACTGGTCCCAGGACTGACCCCTTTGGGAACCCCGCTCGTCACTGGCGCCCACTGTGATACCTCATCGCGGACCATGACTCGCTGTTGCCTCCCTGTTAGGTATTCTCTGATCCATTGCAGTGCCCTTCCTGTTATACGTGCCTGTTCCTCTAGCTTCTGTACTAATCTCTTGTGAGGAACTGTGTCGAAGGCCTTATTGCAGTCCAAGAAAATGCAATCAACCCACCCCTCCCTCTCATTTCTTACTTCAGTTACCTTGTCGTAAAACTCTAGTATGTTTGTGACACAGGATTTGCCTTCCATGAATCCGTGCTGGCTGTCTTTTATAATCTTGTTCCGCTCCAGGTGCTCCACCACTCTCCTCCTGATAATCTTTTCCAAGACTTTGCATACTATACATGTCAGTGACACTGGTCTATAATTTAGTGCTTCATTTCTGTCTCCCTTCTTAAAGATGGGGACTACATTTGCCTTCTTCCATACTTCAGGTAGTTGCCCAGTTTCAAGGGAAGCGTTGAAGATTTTGGTTAGTGGAACACGTAGTGTCCCTGCTCCCTCTCTAAGGACCCACGGAGAGATGTCCGGTCCCACCGCCTTTGAGGTATCAAGGTCACTTAGGAGCTTCTCCACCTCCTCAGCTGTGTGTAATTCATCCAACACTGGTTGGTATATCCCTTGTTGCTGTACGCCACTGTTTTGTCTTCCCGTTGTCCCTTCAGCCTCCACTGTAAATACTTCCTGTGTGTGTGTGTACTCACCTATTTGTGGTTGCAGAGGTCGAGTCTTAGCTCCTGGCCCCGTGTGTGTGTGTGTGTGTGTATACTCACCTATTTGTGGTTGCAGGGATCTGATCACAGTTCCCGGCCCCGGGTGCTACTGTTGACCATAACCCGGATTGAAATAAGTTAGAGTTTTTGACTTTATTGGGTTATTCTAGGCTATTTTCTGCGTAAGTTAATATATAAGACGATTTCATAATTTAAACTTGTGAATTAATCTATCTTGATGTCTACTACGCACTACATACACATACCCGGTAGTCAAAGAATTAAGAGGCATGTAATAGGCCCAGGGACTACACCCAACTTCTTTGTTTGTTAGGTAAGTTACAATGGTAATGAAGTATTGTATACTGAATTGAGATCTGGACCTGAATATACTAAAAAAAAGTGGTTTTAACAAGTTATAATTGTCTAGATTCGCATATTTTTTATGGTCGCTTAGTTTACCATAACTTATTATAATTTTTTATTATTATTACTTTGCTATAGTGATTCAAATATTGAGCAATGATTGAAGTGTATAATATAGAAGTGAGAGCTGGAGACAGCTGAGTGATGAGTGATATTATTAAACTATCTGACAACAACCTTTGTACTGGCCAGGAGTGCTTGTTATCACTACTGTTGTAGCTGTGTTGGTGACCACACTTGTTTCTTTATTGCTGTAGCTGTGTTGGTGAGCACGCCTGTCTGCACTGCTGTACCTGTGTTGGTGAGCACACCTGTCTGCACTGCTGTACCTGTGTTGGTGAGCACACCTGTCTGCACTGCTGTACCTGTGTTGGTGAGCACACCTGTCTGCACTGCTGTACCTGTGTTGGTGAGCACACCTGTCTGCACTGCTGTACCTGTGTTGGTGAGCACATGATTGCTACACATGTGATAGCACATGACACTGCTATAGCTGTTAGTGACCACCTCTCTACACTGCTGTACCTGTGTTAGTGACCACCTCTCTACACTGCTGTACCTGTGTTAGTGACCACCTCTCTACACTGCTGTACCTGTGTTAGTGACCACCTCTCTACACTGCTGTACCTGTGTTAGTGACCACCTCTCTACACTGCTGTACCTGTGTTAGTGACCACCTCTCTACACTGCTGTACCTGTGTTAGTGACCACCTCTCTACACTGCTGTACCTGTGTTAGTGACCACCTCTCTACACTGCTGTACCTGTGTTAGTGACCACCTCTCTACACTGCTGTACCTGTGTTAGTGACCACCTCTCTACACTGCTGTACCTGTGTTAGTGACCACCTCTCTACACTGGTGTATCTGTGGCGAGTACATGACACTACTGTGCATGTGTAGGTGACAACACCTGTCTACATCTACACTGCTGTACCTGTGTTGATCACATCTGTCACTACACAATTGTACCTGTGTTGGTGAGCACACCACATACTCTACACTGCTGTACCCATGTTGGTGAGGACACTGTCTTTACACTGCTGTACATGTGTTGAAGACAGTCCCAACATTCTTATAGTAGAAAGTCAGTGTCATGTAGACTCCATACTGAATTTTAAAAACATGATGTACTTATAGATGTACATCATCGAGAATTGTACCTTCGAGTACTTGCACTGTTACATCTTATGAATAGTGTCTTGCTGAAATATACAAGGGACATTGTAATGTGAGTATGTTAGCAAAAGATCTGTCTTGGTGTATATGTACCGAGTTTTTTTTATTCCCTAATTTGAAGAATGAATCTTAAATGATTTTAAGTGTGCAGGTGAATTGCAACCTTTTGCTACAGTTTAAAAGAATAACAGTGGAGCACTACAGTAAGCTTACTTGCCCATACTAGTTAGGTCTAACTCGTATCAAACCACACCCAGTTCAAATTAAATTTTATTTCTTTGCAGAGGTTATAACGTGTAAATGCATATAAAGTGTTGATGGGTACAAAGAAAGCCCTGTTACTTAAGCTACCCAAAGTTCTTGCTTCTAAGTTAAGTTCTCGTCTTAAAACTTTATCAGCCTGGTATAAATGTATTTGTATTCGTGTGAGAATCATGTTACATTGCTTAGTGATTGTAGAATGTAGATACAGTATAAAAAAAATAATTTGAGGACAACCCCAGTGTCCTCGGAACTATTTATTGTCAGCACGATATTTGTTTTGTCTCCTTTAGATTTTGTGTACAGTGTATCATCCTTGACGCAATTTTAGTACAAACGGTAGTAATTTATATTCATATTTGTATCGTACAAAAGTGCATGCTTTGATGACTTAACCTAGGAAAGCTGTACATTTCTGTTAATAGCTATGTATGTTTATCTACATGTGGGTTACAAAATTTACAGTAATACTTTTACCTAATTCACTTGAAAGATGAAAGTTTTTAATTACTTACACCAATGGGTTAATAAATGATTCCTAAATCTTAAAACTTCAAATCTAGATGCCCAAAGTTCATACATTATTAATACTACATTGTAGTATAAATATCTACCCAAAATGATACTGCCTTACACCCAATTATAGCATTCTCATACTGTAAACTACTTTCAACAACTTGCAATGTTATACGTATTTCCATAATATAATTTCAATATTCATTATTGAAACTATTGTAATTAAAGTAAAATTATACTCTGCTATAAACAAAAAAAAATGTACAAGTTAAAATGTGATCAATTTCTTTAGCATTAAGTAGTCTGTAAGCCATTAAATTAAGTCTGCCCATAATGACTAGGCATGATAGTGGCTCTTTGCACTGTAACTCATTATTGTAATTTCATCTGTGTAATCTTGCAAAGAAATAAAATTTGTTTTGTTTTATAAAGCCAAGCAGTGGATTATTTACAGTGGGATTCTTGGGTACTCTCCCTTGGATGCAATCCACAACTCCTACTCACAAGTACAGTGGACCCCCGGTTAATGATATTTTTTCATTCCAGAAGTATGTTCAGGTGCCAGTACTGACCGAATTTGTTCCCATAAGGAATATTGTGAAGTAGATTAGTCCATTTCAGACCCCCAAATATACACGTACAAACGCACTTACATAAATACACTTACATAATTGGTCGCATTGGAAGGTGATCGTTAAGCGGGGGTCCACTGTATCTACTTACTGCTTGGTGAACATGGGCAGTAGCTGCTGGGAGACTGTCTCTCACATTGCCCCTGATTAGAAGTTGAGTTTTCTCAGTTATGATCTGAGTGCTGTAACAGTGAGCAAAGGAATACCTCTTTGAGCTACATAAGAAACTTTGGTCAAGACAGTTACTGTAATACATATCCTAGGCATAGATTATACTATCAGTTTATTACAAATTTAGTTTCTAACAGTGTACAGGCAGGCCCTACTTGTACAGCAGGTTATCTGTAATTTGCAGTAATTTTACTTTGTTACCTGGTGGAGAGATGGTGTCAACTGGCATGAATGATAGTGGCAACTTGGAATAACCTTTAATCAGAGGAGCTTTGAAGCTCTGCTATTGAAAATGTAGATGGTTGTTATGGCTATCAAACATTGTTTCTTAACATATTCCTCAAATATTTGTGCCACTGAGATATCACTCAACATTTTTTATTAGTTCAACTGTATGACACTTGTGGGCTTAAGCTTAGTTTTATTTATTAAAGTTTCTGCTCAGCACTGAGAACTACACATTCCATCTTGGCATCACCACCTGCTTTAGAAACCATTGTTAACTACATTTAATTTGTTAGTCACAAAAAGCACTAAATCTAGGGAAAAATTGGATACTAAATGATGTTATACATGAGTGAGCACAAACAGTAAACTAACATGGGTACCCTACAGCTCAAGAAATGGCGAAATCGGACAGGTCCTGGATGTGGCAGCTTTGGCCTGGCAGACAAACATTAAAATGGTCTAACTTGGTCTGATGCTTCAGAAGACGTCTGAATGCTATTCCTACAGACAAAATCTGGAATTACTCCTTTCCCCCCTGTTTTGTCTGATACTTCCAATATGTATTTATCCAATAAGTTTTTGATCTTAAATTGCCCAAGTCCATTACTGAGAGGATTTTAATGTAATCATTAAAAAAATTAATTTGATATGCATTTAAAGAAATGTGATTAGACATGAGAATTTTCTAGTTAATTAAGATGTGTTAAACCATGGAATGGGTGAAGTTTGAACCCAGAGCGAGTTAAAACTCCAGGGCAGGATGTAAGCCACTTGGCCAGCTGGCTTCAATACATTTAGTTGGATAAATCTTATTATAGCCAAGTGGCTTATGCACTGGCCTGGAGTTTCGACTTGCTCACCATCAGTTCAAACCCTACCTCTTCTGTGGTTTGTTTACAATCATGTTAAGATTTCATTGGTTAAAATGTGATAGTTTATCTATGGTATGATTTTGTTGGCTAACTAATTTAAAAAATTTGTAATTGGTTACTGTTGTACAGGCAGTCTCTTCAGTGAGGTTGGCCCAGCCTCACTGTGGTCAGATATGTGACACATAATTTATCACCATCTAGATTTTATTTTAATTATGTATAGTATATACATAAAAGCACCTATGGTAGTTAGACTGACATGTGAAAACAGTAATTCAGTAAGACTAGAAATTACTCAAACCTTTCTATTGCAGGATTAAAGTTAAACTATTTTACCTAATTATTTATCAGTTTATAAATTTTGTTTTAAATAAACTAATTTTTATTTAGGATGAATAAGGCAGTCTTGCAGTGTACAAGATGGATGACAGCTTATTACCACTGTTTACTCTGTTTGCTTCCACAACCCTCATTGGTTTGGCTATAGGGAAGACCTTATCCAGGTTTCATCTTCCATATATTTGGTTGCACAAGGTTGGTATAATTTGCTGTATTGCTGATCATGAGAAAATGTTAGAGTTTTTTCATGTACAGTGGTCCCTCGTTTATAGTCATTAATCCGTTCCTGGAAGTGCGACTATTATCGAAATAGACTATTTTCGAATCGATTTTCCCCATAAGAAGTAATGTAAATAGTACAATTAATCCGTTCCTGACACCCAGAAGCATTAAAACAAAAAATTTTTTTACATGAAATATAGATGTAGTACATAAACAATACAATGGGACATGATGAATGAAACATTAACAGCATAACACTTGCCTTTATTGGCGATTCTTCTTAGTGTATGGAAGACTGGAGGAGGAGAGATTGGATTACTGTTTGGAAGGGGAATCCCCTTCCATCAACACCTCGGGTACCAAGTACTTTTCTGGGGTTACTCCTCTTCTGTTTCTCAATGCCACTAGGACCAGCTTGAGTCACTGGAGTCCTGTCTCGCAAAAAGTGTCCAGAGTGCTCTGTTTCTGGCGTCTCTTTAAAACTTGCCTAAAATGGGCCAAGACTCTGTCACTGTACAAGTTGCCAATATGGCTTGCATCATTCTTCTCAGGGTGATGTTTCTCCATAAATCTTTCCATCTTGCCCCACATTTCAAAAATCTTAATTTCTGAAGAAGGCACCTTCTTCCATCTCTCTTCCTCCTCTGCAGCAAGATTCTGAGCTGCGATCTGTTGCTGTTCCTGCTGAAGCTCTTGCAGCTCCTTGGTAGTTAGCTCTTCATTGTGGTCCTCCACCAACTCTTCCACATCCTCCAAACTCGCATCCAACCCCATGGAACTCCCCAATGCCACAATAGATTTCACAACTGACATAGGCTCATCATGGTCAGCCATAAACCCTTCAAAATCCCTCTTGTGGACACACTCTGGCCACAATTTTCTCCAAGCAGCAACAGCTTCCTTGATTTCCTTTTTCTTTGCCATGATGGAAGATATGGTTGTATGGGGGTTTGTTATACATCCTGGCCAGTTCGGCCACACGTGCGCCACTTGCATATTGTTCAATGATGTTTTTCTTAGTCAATCGTATTTCTTGCCTTCTTTACCAAAGGCTTGGCACTAGGAGCTTTCTTTGGAGCCATGGTAGCTTATTTAGCACTGGCAAGCACTAAAATGAATGGAATATTGTGAAATATTTCGTATGAACAAGTGAGGGGACCGTCGCTCACTGGTAAACAATGGCACACTGGCTGGGAAGGGAGGCAGAGGCGACTCAGTGCCGTGAGTACGTGTCCAGGACGAATGGCAATTAGCGAGTCAACCAACCATTTGCGAGCCAATGTTTGGACAAAAATAACGTGACTATTTCCGAAAAGGACGACTATCGAGCCCGACGATTATCGAGGGACCACTGTACTGTAACAAAAAAAAAATTAGTCGGACCCTTATGATAAAATTGCATACTATAATTTTAATGGAAAGGTTAAATGATTTTGAAGTACAATTTATTATTATTCACTTTGGACATGGATATTAGAATGCAAGCCATGCAAATTACATTATGCTTTTGGAGATCTTTAAAAAGTTTGGTAATTCACTGGCACAAAAGAATTTTTAGAATATAATACATTTCTTTGACAGATTATTCTTGCTTAACAAAGGTATTAGAAACAAATTCATGATATTCACTTTTAACTTCCTTTTACAAAAAGTTAAAAGTGAATATAGGGAAGAGTAAGGTGACGAGGATAACAAAAAAAAAATTACGTAACTGAAGATTGGATATCAGATTGGAGGGAGAGAGTACGGAGGAGGTGAATGTGTTCAGATATTTGGGAGTGGACGTGTCAGCAGATGGGTCTATAAAGGATGAAGTGAATCACAGAATTGAAGCGGGGAAAAAGGTGAGTGGTGCACTGAGGAGTCTGTGGAGATGAAGAACTTTATCCATGAAAGCAAAGAGGGGAATGTATGAGAGTATAGTTATACCAATGCTCTTGTATGGGTGTGAGGCATGGGTTGTGAATGTTGCAACAAGGAGACAGCTGGAGGCAGTGGAGATGTCATGGCTGAGGGCAATGTGTGGTGTGGATATAATGCAGAGAATCCATAGTTTGGAGATTAGGAGTATGTGTGGGATTACCAAAACTATTATCCAGAGGGCTGAGGAAGGGTTATTGAGTTGGTTTGGACATGTAGAGAGGATGGAACAAAATAGAATGACTTCGAGAGCATGTAAATCTGTAGTGGAGGGAAGGCAGGGTAGGGGTCGGCGTAGGAAGGGTTGGAGGGAGGGGGTAAAGGGGGTTTTGTGTGTGAGTGGCTTGGACTTCCAGCAAGCGTGCACGAGCGTGTTTGACAGGAGTAAATGGAGACGAATGGTTTTTAGGACATGTGCTGTTGGAGTGTAGGCAAGGTAACATTTATGAAGGGATTTGGGGAAACCGGCAGGCTGGACTTGATTCCTGGAGATGGGAAGTACAGTGCCAGCACTCTGAAGGAGGGGTGCTAATTTTGCAGTTTTATAACTGTAGTGTTAGCATGCCTTTGGCAAGACAGTGATGGAATGAATGATGAAAGTTTTTCTTTTTCGCACCACTCTGCCTTGGTGGGAAATGGCTGATGTGTCAATAAAAAAATTTCTGATATGAAAGTTTGTTAAGCAGTCTGGTTTTCTCATTAAGCCCCGTTTATAGTACAGTACAGCACAGCCTCTCCTCACTTGACGACGGAGTTCCATTCCTAAAACTACGTCTGTAAACTAAATCATTGCTAGGTGAGGAGCATGCTATAATGGTAGTCATCCATCTTTTAACCCATAAACGGTCCAGGCAGATCTATGTTCACGTGTAGTGCTCCAAAAGTAGATCTACTTTTTTTTACATATTTTCAAATACAGTGGACCCTCGCTTAATGATCACCTCCCAATGCGACCAATTATGTAAGTGTATTTATGTAAGTGCGTTTGTACGTGTATGTTTGGGGGTCTGAAATGGACTAATCTACTTCACAATATTCCTTATGGGAACAAATACGGTTAGTACTGGCACCTGAACATACTTCTGGAATGAAAAAATATCGTTAACCGGGGGTCCACTGTATAACAAAAAAAAAAAAAATTACTTTTTTTACATTTACTTTCAAATGTTGAAAAAACGTATATATACGTTTGGACCATTTACGGGTTAATATTGTTTTAATGTCACCTTTGCACCATTTATGTATAACATTTCTGGTATTTTTTTAAATGTTTATTCAGTAGTTTACTGTACTATATTGTAATAAACAGAATAGAGGAAATCAGCTCTTAATATACATTATTTAGGTATGCATGCTGGTCAGAGCCTGTCATAAGTCAGAGTTGTCGGTAAAAGAGTACAGTGGACCTCCTGAGTTTTGTGATTCCTGCATTTTGTGAATTTTGCCTTGCGGCAACTTTTCGTCAAAATATAGCCTTGCGTTTTGTGATTTGCTTTGCGATTCGTTGGTCATACGGTACGTGTCTGAACAGTCTGTGTCTGCACACTCCATTGTCAGTGTGGCATTGTTTGTTGCCGAGTAACCATTACCCCCCACGTGTTTGTACAATACATTTCATCATAATCCATTGGCTTTTTGTGCTTGCAACTGCTAAATAAGCCACCATGGGCCCAAAGAACACTCCTAGTGCCAGCCCTTTGGTAAAGAAGGTGAGAAGCACGATAAAATTAAAGAAATTGCAAAATATGAAAGTGGAGTGTGTGTGGCCGAGCTTGCCAGGATGTATGGGAAGCCCTATTCAAACATCACTTCCACTGTGGTGGAGAAAAAGGAAATCAAGGAAGCTGTTGTTGTGAAAAGGGGTAGATATGCTCACAAGAGATCGCAAATAATCGAAGATGTAGAGAATTTGTTGGTGTGGACCAACCAAAAACAATTAGCAGGAGATAGTGTTATGCAGTCGATAATTTGTGAAAAGGCAAGGCAGTTGCATGCCAATCTCGTAAAGAAAATGCCTGGAACGAGTGCTGATGTTAGTGAATTTAAGGCCAGCAAAGGTTGGTTTGAGAGATTTAAGAAGCGTAGTGGCATACACAGTGGTAAGGCATGGCAAGGCTACAAGTTCTGACAAATGTGTGGCTGAAAAATTCGTGCATGAATTCAAGGTTTACGTAGTATGAAGGATTCCTTCCCCAATAATTGTTCAGTTGTGACGAAACAGGCCTCTTTTAGAAGAAAGTGCCAAAGAGGACCTACATCACATAGGAGGAAAAGGGCACTGCCAGGACACAAGCCTTTGAAAGACAGGCTAACACTCTTGTTCTGTGGTAATGCTAGTGGGGATTTCAGAGTGAAGCCTTTACTGGTGTATCACTCTGAAAATCCCAGTGTTTTCAAGAAAGTGTTGCCAAGAGTAAATTGTGTGTGATGTGGGTCACAAGGGACATTGTCCTTGATTGGTTCAGTGAAGTGTTTGGCCTGAGTGTGAAGAAGTACCTCATGGAAAATAAATTGCCACTCAAGTGCCTCCTAGTAATGGACAATGCTCCTGCTCATCCTCCAGACTTGGATGATCAAATGGTGGGGGAGTTTAGTTTCATCAGTGAATTTTCCCCCCTAATACTACTACTCTCATCCAGCCCATGGCCCAGCAGATCTTTTCAAAACTCAAATAACTCTACCCCAAAGCAGTGCATCAAAGATGCTTTGATGTGACCTCAGACACTGAATTGACCCTAAGAGAGTTCTGGAAAGATCACTTCAATATCCTCAATTGCATAACTCTTATAGATAAGGCTTGGCAGGGAGTGACTTCCAGGACTTTGAACTCTGCTTGGAGAAAATTGTGGCCAGATTGTCTTCTTGTCAAAGATTTTGAAGGGTTTGAGCCTGACCCTGACAACCCTATGCCAGTTGTGGAATCTATTGTGGCTTTGGGGAAGTCCATGGGATTGGATGCGAGTGGCCAGGATGGGGAAGAGTTGGTGGAGGACCAGTGAAGAGTTAACCACTGAAGAGCTGCAAGAACTTCATCTGCAACAGCAACAGAGCACAGCTGAGGAGATTGCTTCACAGGAGGAGGAAGAGAGAGGGAAGGTGCCTTCAGTGATTAAGGAGATTTGTGCTATGTGGAGTAGGATGCAAAGATTTGTGGAGGAACATCACCTTAACAAAGCTGTTGCAGGCCGTGTCTGTGACATGTTCATTGACAGTGTTTTGTCCTATTTTAGGGAAATTTTAAAGACGCTGGAAACAGAGCTCTCTGGAACAATTTTTTAAGCGACAGGGATCCAGTGACTCAAGCTGGTCCTAGTGGTATTAACCCTTAAATGGTCCAAACGTATATATACACGTTTTTTCAACATTTGAAAGTATGTAAAAAAATGTAGATCATTTTTTTTTTTCCCCCCCCATTTGAAAATGTGTGAAAAAAAAAACTTATCTGCATTTGTTTTTTTATGTTCGAAAATATGTAAAAAAAAAAACGTAGATCTACGTTTGGAGCACTACGGATTTGAACGTCTATCTGTTTGGACCGTTTAGGGGTTAAAAACAGAGGGGAGTAACCCCGGATAAGGACTGGGTACCTAAAGTCTTTATGGAAAGGGATTCCCCTTGCAAACAATAGTGTAACTTGATCCTCTCTCCTCCTCCTGTCTTCCATACACCAACAAGAGTCTTCAATGAAAGTGCGATGTTATTGTTTTATACGTACTGTACTTGATTTCTCATTGTTTTCCGTATGGAAATCTGTTTAATCCCAAAATTTATTTTTTCTTAATACTTTTGGGTGTCTGCAACGTATTAATTAGATTTACATTATTTCTTATGGGGAAAATGTTTTCACAATTCATGAATTTCACTTTTCGGCAGACTCTCTGGAATGGATTAATTACGAAACTTGGGGATCCACTGTATCTTATTAAGTGAGGAGAGGCTTTACTAAAATCAAGATGCCTTATCTGTGGGAGCTGACCAGTAATTTTAAAAACTTTACAAATAGTCTCTTCTTTCAACAAACCAGTTGTATCCCACTAAGGGAGGGTGGCCCCCTTGCTCTCGACATGTTAGTTGTCTCTTACGACATGCATGGCTTAGTTTACAGAGGAAGAAGTCTTCTCCACTTTCCCATGGAGATAAGAGGAAATAAAAAAGAGAAAGAATTGGTAAGAAAATAGAAGAAAACCCAGAGGGGTGTGTGTGTGTGTGTGTATATATATATGTTTGTAAGTGCAAGAAGTGTAACTTTAGTGCAAGTAGAAGTAGCAAAATGTACATGAAAACTTGCATGTTTGAGAGAAAAAAAAATCCTACCATGTTAAACAATTACAGGCTTCAGTTTTACTCATTTGGCAGAATGGTAGTACCTCCCTGGGCGGTTGCTGTATACCAACCCACTACTTGCCTACAAATAATGTTGAAAAATATACATTATGGGTTAGCATGGCATTTTCATGCGAGTGGGATAGAATGAAGGCTTATCAAAACAAGGGGTGAGTTAGTCTAAGAATGTATACTCCTTGATTGGCTTCTTTGCTCAAATAAGATGTTTCAACAGAAGAAACAGGGTTTGACAAAGTTAGGTTAAAGATCCCTAGGTTTATTGCCAAGCTATTTACAGGTTAAGGATTCCTAACTTTATTGACAAGCTAAGAGCTGTTACCTACATCAGCTCATTTGAAAGCATTTTTATTGTTATGAGACATAAAAGTAAGGAACAGGATGAAGTTGGAGCTATCTGTGGGCCAGCATTTTCATTTGATCAACTGACTTTATCTCGCTGACATCATCATACTGTACGAATGTGTTCCATACTATTCGTCCTGGGGATAAATGATCTCAGATGAAGTGATGTTCTGGAGAAGGGTACGGCCAGAGTGAAGTTGCTGTTTTCTGCCCATCTTGTGGTATAGAAGCTTGCTTCACGCTGTCCTCGAAGTAGATTCAAGTGTGGTACTTTGACAATATTGGCCTTGTACATAACAGTAAGGCCACCCACATCCCTCCTGTGTTGAAGGCTCTGCTGAAATGACCAATCTATCCAGGATTGGTCCAGGCAAGAGATTAGACGTCTTGCTCTGTTCTCTACTGTCAAGCAGTCGCAGATGAGAAGCAGGGCAGGTGAACAAAGTGGAGCATACTCGAGGTGTGAGCGTACTTGTGCCTCGTACAAAACTGTGCAACCCCTGCTGTCAAGCAGATGCAAGATACGGTGATGTGCTGTAAGCTTCCTGGCTGCCATGTTTGCAAGATTTACAATGTGGTTCTTCATGGTCAGTTTGGAGTCTAATTTCACCCCAAGGATATCAACTTCTTCCCCAGGTGCCAACACCCTCCCATTCATCCTTACTACTGCACCGGCATTACCATCATGGTGCCTAGAGATCATTTCTCAGGTGCAAATGTTACTTGCCATCTATTTCCCCAAGCTGATATAGCTCTTAGCTGTGACTGATGTAGCTTACAGCAGCTGGCATTTCTTCTCTTGGATAAGTGAATGCCAGTGTACAGTTGTCTGCATATGCATGGGATTCTGGGATGAGATGAAGGTCATTGAAGTAGACATTCCATAACAATGGTCCCTGAATGCTTCCTTGTGGAACTTTGCCCCAATAGGATGTCATGATGATTCTGCTCCATTGAGAACTACACTTAGAGATCTACCATGAGGGTAATCACTGAGGAGACAGTGTAGAGCCTGCAGTTCCCAGAGCTTGGTTTTGCTAAGAGGCCCTGGTGCTACACCCAGTTGAAAGCACCAGCAATGTCCAGTGCTACCACACAGCTGACTTTGGATTCATCCAGTGACTGGTGCCACTTAGTGGAGAGGTTTAACAACAGATCAGCAGCAGAGTAGCCTTTCCTGAAGCCATATTGATGGTCACAAAGTAGCGAGTGGTAGTCAAAAAAACTCATTTGTCTCGATATTATAGTCTCTAGGAGCTTGCCAGTGATTGACAGGAGTTACACTGGTCTGTAGTTGCTGATTTCTACTCTGCTCTTCTTTTTGTGAACAGGGACTACATTTGCCTCTTTCCACAGAGTACCATTTACACTGTACTAGGCAGTGCTGAAAGATGCGAGGTAGAGGTGCTGCTAGCTGGTCTGCACATCTTCTCAGCAATCTTGGGCTCAGCTTGTCTGGGCCCACAGCCTTTTCTTGGTCAAGCGATTCAAGAAGGAAATGCACCTTCTCCTGCCGCCTTATTGTCACCACTGACAGTTTTGACAGTTCTTGCAGCTAGCCAAGAAGGGTCCCTTGCTGGATCAGGAACTTGCATTTTGGTAGCCAAGTGTTTGGCAAAGAGATCCGCTTTCTCTTGACTACTCTTTTTCTTTCTTTCTCTCTTCCCCCCCCTCCCATCCCCCACCTACCTACAAGTTGGCCGTCTCCCACCGAGGCAGGGTGTCCCAAAAAAGAAAATACTTTCATCGTCATTCAGCACTTTCACCTCATTCGTACATAATCACTCGTACATAATCACTCATACATAATCGCTGTTTAGTAGGCTATACGGAAAAGTGGTTCATTGATAAAATAATTCATTTGCTGAAAGAAAGTACCTTGTTTTGGTTGCCTTTTAGTTAGCATTCCCTCCCTTTCCCCCAAAGTTCAATGAGGACTTAAGAACTACCTATGTTAGACAAAATATTATTGGTAAAAGTAAGCAATTTTAGTGAACATTCAAAGTTTGCTGATATGAAAAAAAAATTGGCAGTGATATTAATGAGCTCTAGTGTTAATGTAATAAACATTGCTAATATGTAGAAGATTGAAATTACTCGGTCATCAGAGCAGTTTTTATCTTCACTATTTGTAGGTTTAAGATATGTCTTTTACTCTATTTTTTGATGTTTATATTCTGGCACCAGTGTAGTGAATATAGTTAAATTAAAGTTGGGTTACCAAAGATATTTACAGTTGATTATTTTGTGAAGCAATAGTTAATATTTAAATGACTAAACTGCTCCATTACTACCCCACAGTATGTAAACCTTGTGAAATATTTAGATAATGACAAATATTTTGCTTGCAGGTTGATAAGAGTAGCAAACGCCATGGAGGAGAATTAGTTGCAGAGGTTCTACAGTCGCATGGTGTGCGTCAAATTTTCACATTGCCTGGTGGACATATTTCTCCCATTCTTGTTGCAGCTGAAAAACTTGGAATTCGTATTGTTGACACACGACATGAGGTAAAGCCTATATAACATGTGGGAGTTGGTATTTTCATGCACAGTGCACGATACTTTCATAAAGGGAGCAGAGCAAATTGTGTTGCTGGTAGAGAAAGGTTTGCTTGGTTTAATGTTTAATTTGGTAATCTATCTCCTTGAATCTATTGCATTGATTTTTTTGCTGATCATGTGTTTCATCTTCCATTTTGTTCATGGCACCTCATGTGTAGTTGCATGTTTTGATGACTCCAAGATATAAGTTGCTGTTTCATTTCTTAATTTGGTCACGATTTTTCAAAACTTAATTTTCTTGCTATTAGCTGTTATACGAGTGGAGGTATAGTATATCCCAGAATGCATGTAAACTACTTTAATAATACAAGTACCATTGTTCATTAAAAAAATGTTTGCTTCATTAGTACAGTATGCTTCCTTTCCATTTTGTGAATATTGAAAATGGCATATAAATCTTCTAATTAACTTATAACTATAAAATTATTTCAGCCTTCCTGTGTTTTTATTAAATTTCAGTTTAATGAAAATCTTTTCTAATTTTCCCATAGAAAGTGGACTAGAATCCTTTCCCTGTTTCCATGCCTATTGTGGAAGGTGCATTATCAGATATGCCTGGAGCATTGATCTTGTTACCTGTTTTATATGGCATTTATTTACATTTAAATTCCATTATTTATCCATTACTCCATGTGCTCATTTAATCCAGATTTTTGCAGTGTCTACAGTTGTATTCATATATATTTTGTTTTTCTTCTGGTAAATCCTTAATTTAGAAGCATATTTGGGTCAAGTACAGAACCTTATGGCACCCCACTTGTGACATATCCCTCTGCAGGCATTTTTCATCTTGTTTATTTTCCTAATACAGTTTCTCATCCATTAATGTAATTTATCTTTAACTCCTCCTATAATTAGTCTTTCATGGGTAACTCTTATCAAAAGCTTTCCAAAAGTGTAAATACATCCCTAACAAATTCAATGTACATGAATTTGAAGACTGAAATCCAAATTGTTTACCAGTTAAAATATTATTCTAATTTTTTTAATCCACTTTTCTGTGATGCTTTTTATCCAATAATTTTATGACTCTTCAGTGAAACCGGCCTAAATTTTAAAGGACCTTCCCTGTCACCTTTTCATTATATAGGCACAGTATGTGCCATCTTCCATGTACTTGCTAATTTACCTTCATGTAGTGAAATAAATTTTTTCTGAAGGTAATAGTGTAATTCTTCTGCACAATCTTTTAACCCTTTCAGGGTCCGTCCCGTAGATCTACGGCTTTACGTTCAGGGTCCAAACCGTAGATCTACGTCATGAGCTCAGCTCACTCTGATAAACTGTGAGTGGTAAATTTGGGCCTAGATATGAGAGAATACATCTGTGGTATGTGTGCACCACATAAAACAAATCCTGCAGCACACTGTGTATAATGAGAGAAAAAGAACTGAGACCGTGATTTTCGATTAAAACAGCGAATTTGCAGTGTTTTTTCGTATGTTTTTTATAGTTGTATTTGTGATTTCTTGGTCTCATTTGATAGTATGGAAGATATACTACAGAAATAGAGATAATTTTGATTGGTTTTAGCACTGGAAATGGCTTGAAACTGAGCTCAAAGTGGCGGAAATGTTAAATTTTTGCCGATGTTCAAGAGTAAACAAACGACCTCACACGTCTAATACACGCCAGCTGGTGGGTCTAATATAAATTCACAAATGTGGTGATATTTATACAATTATTACAATATTGCATAACAGTAAATCTTCTATTTTTTGGTGTGAATAAAAATTCATTATGTGAATAAAAAATCAAAATGGAATTTATTTGTAATGCCTCAAAACATAACTGATGAACAGAGGAAATGTTAGTTTAGTGCCAGGAATACCTACATTGTTTATTCTGGACCCTATTTTGAAATTGGAATATTTTGAACTTTGTGTTAAATTGGCCAAATTACCAATTTCCGGCCACTTTATTTTGTAGTTGAAACAGTTGACTTGGCGATTTCTTGTGCTCAATCGATAGAATAGAAGTGATACTAGTGAAATAGCTAAGAATTTGGTTGACTGGAATAATGTAATTGGCCTAAAATAGAAGTCAAAGTCGGCAAAATCGCCGATTCGTAAATATCACTGACACATCAAAATTCACGAGAGCATAATTTCGTCAATTTTCCATCAAATTTCATACTTTTTGTTTTATTACATTCACAAAAAGATTCTCTACCATTTCATAAGAAAAAATAATTTTTTTTTTTTTTTAAATTCTTGGACACTGGGGCACCACTTCAGATTTTGGCCTTGGACCCTGAAAGGGTTAAGACTGAGGTGCTGTTCAATCTGGTCCTATATAGAACTTATTTTCTTAATATCTGATAACAATTTCTTTTTCTTAAGTTATTAATTTCAGTATACTCCAATTCAGACGTCCGAGATTAAAATCTGCTACATGCTATACAAGATGGAACTAATGAAGTATGCAGCTACCTTCATTAGTCTGTGTCTAGTATAAAATCATATTAAGCTTTACTGAATCCCATATACATGCAGTTTATCATGGTCCACTGCCTCAAATACTCTAGTGTAAGAGGTAGCAGATTTGTTGGGACAGAACCCCATTTTGTGAGGCTGGTGGGAATCTTTGACAAAATTCTTTCAGGGTGGTTTTAAATTTCATCCACAGTTATTGAGTTCATTAATTTTCCCACAATTGAGGTTAGGATGATTGATCTGTAAGTAAAGCTAAGGACCTAACTCCCACTTTGTAACTTAGTATCACATTTGCCATTTCCTACATATTCTATCTAGCATAGTACCAGTTTGTAGTGATTTACTGAGGAGACGAGCTAATGATTTACTAATATTTTCTTCTCTGATACTGGGTCACCTTAACATGGTGGTGGGGTTTGAATTGGTTGTACCTAAAGGCTTCTTCTCTGGAAAGAGGATAACCCTCTTCCAACAAGAGGCCTGCCCAACTAAGAACTCCAGCATATATTTTGGCTTAAATGGTGGGGATACTGCTGTTTGCATCTAACTTTGCTGACAGTTATAGGTGATAATGAGCAGCTGATTTTGGACTGTGGAATGTGAAGAATGGTTTGAATAGTTTTCCTTCCTTTGTGATCAATTTATGTACTATAAGTGAAATGGTGGTAGGATTGCTGGTGTCCTTTTTTCTGTCTAGTAAACTTGTAAGATTTCAGGTATGTCTTGCTACTTACGCTTAGGTCACACTACACGTACATGTACAAGCATATATATACACACCCCTCTGGGTTTTCTATTTTCTTTCTAGTTCTTATTCTTGTTTATTTCCTCTTATCTCCATGGGGAAGTGGAACAGAATTCTTCCTCCGTAAGCCATGCATGTTGTAAGAGGCGACCAAAATGCTGGGGGCAAGGGGCTAGTAACCCCTTCTCTTGTGTAAATTACTAAATTTAAAAAGAGGAACTTTCGTTTTTCTTTTGGGGCCACCCTGCCTTGGTGGGATACGGCCAGTTTGTTTAGAGAAAAAAAGTGAAATGGTCACAATAGCCAGTTGTTTATTATTATTTTTTTTTTTTTTATCACACTGGCCAATTCCCACCAAGGCAGGGTGGCCCGAAAAAGAAAAACTTCACCATCATTCACTCCATCACTGTCTTGCCAGAAGGGTGCTTTACACTACAGTTTTTAAACTGCAACATTAACACCCCTCCTTCAGAGTGCAGGCACTGTACTTCCCATCTCCAGGACTCAAGTCCGGCCTGCCGGTTTCCCTGAACCCCTTCATAAATGTTACTTTGCTCACACTCCAACAGCACATCAAGTATTAAAAACCATTCGTCTCCATTCACTCCTATCAAACACGCTCACGCACGCCTGCTGGAAGTCCAAGCCCCTCGCACACAAAACCTCCTTTACCCCCTCTCTCCAACCTTTCCTAGGCCGACCCCTACCCTGCCTTCCTTCCACTACAGACTGATACACTCTTGAAGTCATTCTGTTTTGCTCCATTCTCTCTACATGTCCGAACCACCTCAACAACCCTTCCTCAGCCCTCTGGACAACAGTTTTGGTAATCCCGCACCTCCTCCTAACTTCCAAACTACGAATTCTCTGCATTATATTCACACCACACATTGCCCTCAGACATGACATCTCCACTGCCTCCAGCCTTCTCCTTGCTGCAACATTCATCACCCATGCTTCACACCATATAAGAGCGTTGGTAAAAACTATACTCTCATACATTCCCCTCTTTGCCTCAAGGACAAAGTTCTTTGTCTCCACAGACTCCTAAGTGCACCACTCACCCTTTTCCCCTCATCAATTCTATGATTCACCTCATCCTTCATAGACCCATCCGCTGGCACGTCCACTCCCAAATATCTGAATACATTCACCTCCTCCATACTCTCTCCCTCCAATCTGATATCCAATCTTTCATCACCTAATCTTTTTGTTATCCTCATAACCTTACTCTTTCCTGTATTCACTTTAATTTTCTTCTTTGCACACCCTACCAAATTCATCCACCAATCTCTGCAACTTCTCTTCAGAATCTCCCAAGAGCACAGTGTCATCAGCAAAGAGCAACTGTGACAACTCCCACTTTGTGTGTGATTCTTTATCTTTTAACTCCACGCCTCTTGTCTAGACCCTCGCATTTACTTCTCTTACAACCCCATCTATAAATATATTAAACAACCACGGTGACATCACACATCCTTGTCTAAGGCCTACTTTTACTGGGAAATAATTTCCCTCTTTCCTATGTACTCTAACTTGAGCCTCACTATCATCGTAAAAACTCTTCACTGCTTTCAGTAACCTACCTCCTACACCATACACCTGCAACATCTGCCACATTGCCCCCCTATCCACCCTGTCATATGCCTTTTCCAAATTCATAGATGCCACAAAGACCTTTAGCCTTATCTAAATACTGTTCACTTATGTTTCACTATAAACACCTGGTCCACACACCCCCTACCTTTCCTAAAGCCTCCTTGTTCATCTGCTATCCTATTCCCAGTCTTACTTTTAATTCTTTCAATAATAACTCTACCATACACTTTACCAGGTATACTCAACAGACTTATCCCCCTATAATTTTTGCACTCTTTTGTCCCCTTTGCCTTTATACAAAGGAACTATGCATGCTCTCTGCCAATCCCTAGGTACCTTACCCTCTTCCATACATTTATTAAATAATTGCACCAACCACTCCAAAACTATATCCCCACCTGCTTTTAACATTTCTATCTTTATCCCATCAATCCGGCTGCCTTACCCCCTTTCATTTTACCTACTGCCTCACGAACTTCCCACACACTCACAACTGGCTCTTCCTCACTCTACAAGATGTTATTCCTCCTTGCCCTATACACGAAATCACAGCTTCCCCATCTTCATCAACATTTAACAATTCCTCAAAATATTCCCTCCATCTTCCCAATACCTCTAACTCTCCATTTAAAAACTCTCCTCTCCTATTTTTAACTGACAAATCCATTTGTTCTCTAGGCTTCCTTAACTTGTTAATCTCACTCCAAAACTTTCTTATTTTCAACAAAATTTGGTTGATAACATCTCACCCACTCTCTCATTTGCTCTCTTTTTACATTGCTTCACCACTCTCTTAACCTCTCTTTTTCTCCCTATACTCTTCCCTCCTTGCATCACTTCTACTTTGTAAAAACTTCTCATATGCTAACTTTTTCTCCCTTACTACTCTTTACATCATCATTCCACCAATCGCTCCTCTTCCCTCCCGCACCCACTTTCCTGTAACCACAAACTTCTGCTGAACACTCTAACAATACATTTTTAAACCTACCCCGTACCTCTTCGACCCCATTGCCTATGCTCTCATTAGCCCATCTATCCTCCAATAGCTGTTTATATCTTTCCCTAACTGCCTCCTCTTTTAGTTTATAAACCTTCACCTCTCTCTTCCCTGATGCTTCTATTCTCCTTGTATCCCATCTACCTTTTACTCTGTGTAGCTACAACTAGAAAGTTATCTGATATATCTGTGGCCCCTCTATAAACATGTACATCCTGAAGTCTACTCAACAGTCTTTTATCAACCAATACATAATCCAACAAACTACTGTCATTTCGCCCTACATCATATCTTGTATACTTATTTATCCTCTTTCTTAAAATATGTATTACCTATAACTAAACCCCTTTCTATACAAAGTTCAATCAAAGGGCTCCCATTATCATTTACACCTGGCACCCCAAACTTACCTACCACACCCTCTCTAAAAGTTTCTCCTACTTTAGCATTCAGGTCCCCTACCACAATTACTCTCACTTGGTTCAAAGGCTCCTATACATTCACTTAACATCTCCCAAAATCTCTCTCTCTCTCTCTCTCTCTCTCTGCATTCCTCTCTTCTCCAGGTCCATACACGCTTATTATGACCCATTTCTCGCATCCAACCTTTACTTTAATCCACATAATTCTTGCATTTACACTTTCATATTCTCTTTTCTCCTTCCATAACTGATCATTCAACATTACTGCTACCCCTTCCTTTGCTCTAACTCTCTCAGATACTCCAGATTTAATCCCATTTATTTCCCCCCACCGAAACTCCCCTACCCCCTTCAGCTTTGTTTTGCTTAGGGCCAGGACATCCAACTTCTTTTCATTCATAACATCAGCAATCGTCTGTTTCTTGTCATCTGCACTACATCCACGCACATTCAAGCATCCCAGTTTTATAAAGTTTTTCTTCTCTTTTTTAGTAAATGTCTACAGAAGGGGTTACTAGCCCATTGCTCCCGGCATTTTAGTCGCCTCATACGACACGCATGGCTTACGGAGGAAAGATTCTTTTCCACTTCCCCATGGACAATAGAAGAAATAAAGAAGAACAAGAGCTATTTAGAAAAAGGAGAAAAACCTAGATGTATGTATATATATATATATATGCATGTGCATGTCTGTCTGTGAAGTGTGACCAAAGTGTAAGTTGGAGTAGCAAGATATCCCTGTTATCTAGCGTGTTTATGAGACAGAAAGACACCAGCAATCCTACCATCATGCAAAACGCTTACAGGTTTCTGTTTCACAGTCATCTGGCAGGACGGTAGTACTTCCCTGGGTGGTTGCTGTCTACCAACCTACTACCTTATAATTATATCTGTTGTAAATTTGAGAGAAACTAAATGTTTAAATGTTTAAAATTCTTCCTCCATTCCTTCAGACCTCTTGAAAATAGTTTCAGGCCTTGAGTTAGTTTGGTTTTAATCCATCTGCTCATCTATGATTATGATTTGGTATAATTTATCTTCATCCCATCTTACACAATTATTAATTACTGTGAAATTATTTTTCTTTTGCCAGTACAGAAGAAATAAGTGTTAGAAATGGTAAACATTTATTTTCTCTACCTTTTTATCTTTGTATTCATATATGGTAAGCAATTATGAAGTTTCCCTGTATGGTATAAATTTTTTTGTAAATGCGATTGGAAAAGTGCATCCAAAATTGAATAATGCAATCTGTGAAGGCCTTTCCACATGCTATTCAGTTTTGTATGCCCTTTTTCAATCATACGTACAAAAAAGTTGCGCTATGTAAAGGAGCTTTGTAACAGATTACTGTATGTACATTAGTATTTATATTGTTAGATGTTTAGATATGCAGTACCGAATATATTGTATAGGTATTGTGTGTGTATTTCAGGCATCAGCAGTATTTGCAGCAGATGCTGTGGCACGCATGTCAGGGACTGTAGGAGTAGCAGCAGTGACAGCTGGGCCAGGCCTGACCAACACTATCACAGCTGTTAAGAATGCTCAGATGGCTGAAAGTCCAGTACTAATTATAGGTAAGAAAGACTTAAGAATCATTATTTTAGAGAAATAATTATCTTTAGATACTGTAACCATAAACTGATTTTTACATGAGCATTGTAGCTGTTTTCTGTCAACAGGTGGTGCTACAGCTACAATTTTGAAGGGCCGTGGAGCTCTGCAAGATATAGACCACATGTCTCTCTTCAAGCCCCTCTGCAAGTTTAGTGCATCTGTCACCTGTGTAAGAGATATAGTCCCAGTTGCTCGTCAGGCCTTTCAGGTTGCACAGTCGGGGACACCAGGTCAGTGCTAATTACAGAATTTTTATTCTTGGAATTAGGAATTTTAGCTTGGGCTACTAATAGATGAAGTACAGCTCCAGTGACAAAGTAAATCTCACATGGATGGTATATAAAACCTCATGAAAAGGGATGTTTATATTTTGGCCTAGGTTCAGTTTCAGCAGTTATCTACATAACTAGATAGTAGTAGGTTGGTAGTTGGTAGTTAGACAGCACCTTCCCAGGGAGGTCCTACTGTCCTGCCAAGTGAGTGTAAAATGGAAGCCTGTAATTGTTTCACATGATAGGATTGCTGGGGCCTCTTTTCTGTCTCAAACATGCAAGATTTCAGGTACATCTTGCTACTTCTACTTACACTTAGGTCACACTACTACACATGCATGTATATTTATGTATACGTGCTCGTCTGAGTTTTCTTGGAATTTTTCTTAATAGTTCTTTTTCTTATTAATTTTCCTTTCATGTCCATGGGGAAGTGGAATAAGAATCTTTCCTCCGTAAGCCATGCGTGCTATAAAAGTTGACTAAAATGCCGGGAGCAATTGGCTGGTAACCCTTTCCCATATAGCTTACTAAAAATAAGAAGCCTAAACTGTCATATCTGAGTGCCTCTGCAAATACAATGATTGTGTGCGAGTGATGGTGAAAGTGTTGAATGATAATGAAAGTTTTTTTTTTTTTAGGGTCGCCCTGCCTTGGTGGGAAACAGTTGACGCGTAAAAAAAAAAAAAATTGTACATATGGTAGGGCCCCGCTTTTTGGCGTTTCGCCTTACGGCATTCCACTAATACAGCGATCTCGAATTATGACCAAAACTTTCTATACGGCAAGCGGTCTTTCAAATATGGCGCGTGCCACCTGGTTTGTTTACATTCTCCATGAGCACATCTATGCAATAATCACTCTTGGGCACATTAAATGTCTGAAGATTGAGAAACTTGCGCAACATATAGCAATCTTTATTAAGGAAATGTTTCGCCACACAGTGGCTTCATCAGTCCAATACAAATCGGAAGGGTGTAAGGAGAGGAGGAGTTTAAGGTAATCAGTCCCTCAGCCTGGAGTCGGTGTTCAGTCCATCAATCTTGTAGAAAGTACAGCATAGGGCCGTAGACATGGCTTTTATACTGTAGTAAAGTGAAGCGAAGCAGGAAGAGGCGGGGTCATAGTGGTACTATCCACTAGTCAAAGTAGGTCTTCGTCCAAAGGTTGGACAAGATTGTATTGGACTGATGAAGCCACTGTGGCGAAACGTTTCCTTAATAAAGATTCCCATATGTTGCATAAGTGTCTCAATCTTTAACTTGTCAGATTTTTAAAGCATTTATCGCACATTAAATGTCCAATTTAATTTTGTCAATACATGTATAGGCATTTTCATTAATCGATCTGAGGTGTGGTAGCCGGGCAGAGGGAAAACATTACGTCACTCCCCTTAATACATGATGTTTTTTTTTTACAACTCTCGGCATGAATTATTGATTACTTATGGTATGTCTATGGTAATATGGCTCTGGGCCACATTAAATATTGTTTAGCTATGTATGTAGGTAAGTGTAGATATGTAGCCCAGGCAGACTAAAATTTTTTTCTCTCTCGATCTCTCTCTCGATCTCTCTCTCGATCTCTCTCTCGATCTCTCTCTCGATCTCTCTCTCGATCTCTCTCTCGATTCTCTCTCGATCTCTCTCTCGATCTCTCTCTCGATCTCTCTCTCGATCTCTCTCTCGACTCTCTCTCTCGATCTCTCTCTCATCTCTCTCGATCTCTCTCTCGATCTCTCTCTCGATCTCTCTCTCGATCTCCTCTTCGATCTCTCTCTCGATCTCTCTCTCGATCTCTCTCTCGATCTCTCTCTCGATCTCTCTCTCGATCTCTCTCTCGATCTCTCTCTCGATCTCTCTCTCGATCTCTCTCTCGATCTCTCTCTCGATCTCTCTCTCGATCTCTCTCTCGATCTCTCGATCTCGATCTCTCTCGATCTCGATCTCTCTCGATCTCTCTCGATCTCGATCTCTCTCGATCTCGATCTCTCTCGATCTCGATCTCTCTCGATCTCGATCTCTCTCGATCTCGATCTCTCTCTCGATCTCGATCTCTCTCTCTCTCTCTCTCGATCTCTCTCGATCTCTCTCTCTCTCTCGATCTCTCTCTCGATCTCGATCTCTCTCGATCTCTCTCGATCTCTCTCGATCTCTCTCGATCTCGATCTATCTCGATCTCTCTCGATCTATCTCGATCTCTCTCGATCTCTCTCGATCTCGATCTCTCTCGATCTCTCTCTCTCTCGATCTCTCTCTCTCGATCTCTCTCTCTCGATCTCTCTCGATCTCTCTCTCTCTATCGATCTCTCTCTCGATCTCTCTCGATCTCTCTCTCTCGATCTCTCTCGATCTCGATCTCTCGATCTCGATCTCTCGATCTCGATCTCTCGATCTCGATCTCTCTCTCGATCTCTCTCTCGATCTCTCTCGATCTCTCTCTCTCGATCTCTCTCTCGATCTCTCTCTCGATCTCTCGATCTCTCTCTCGATCTCTCTCTCGATCTTTCTCTCGATCTCTCGATCTCGATCTCTCTCTCGATCTCTCTCTCGATCTCTCTCTCTCGATCTCTCTCTCTCGATCTCGATCTCTCTCTCGATCTCTCTCTCGATCTCTCTCTCTCGATCTCTCTCTCGATCTCTCTCTCGATCTCTCTCTCGATCTCTCTCTCGATCTCCCCTCTCGATCTCTCTCTCGATCTCTCTCTCGATCTCTCTCTCGATCTCTCTCTCGATCTCTCTCTCGATCTCTCTCTCGATCTCTCTCTCGATCTCTCTCTCGATTCTCTCTCAAAACAAGTCGGCCGTCTCCCATCGAGGCAGGATGACCCAAAACAGAAAGAAAATCCCCAAAAACAAAATACTTTCATCATCATCATTCAACACTTTTGCCTCACTCACACAATATCACTGTTTTTGCAGAGGTCCCCAGAATAAAACAGTTTAGAAGTATACACCTACCATCCGACTTACGACCGAGCTTGGTTCTGGCAAACTGGTCGTAAGTCAAAATGGAAGAAAGTCGAACCTTGCTACTGAATATCAACATCACATTTTTTATAATGACTTTATTTTATTGTTTTATTCTGGTATTTCATATTTTACTTTAATTTTTATGCTGTTAGTACTGTATTTTATACTGTAAGGTTTAGGATAAACACTGTGTACAACACAAACACTTGTTTATTTCCCAGAAATTTGGCATACAAAACACGGTCGTAAGTTAAGTGGTCGTATGTCGAGCAGGTCGTAAGTCGGATGGTAGGTGTATACGTATAAAAATACACAATATATCCCTCCAAACTGCCAATATCCCAAACCCCTCCTTTAGAGTGCAGGCATTGTACTTCCTATTTCCAGGACTTGAGTTTGGTCATATAAAATAGCCAGTTTCTCTGAATCCCTTCACTAAATATTACCCTGCTCACACTCCAACAGCTCGTCAGGTCCCAAATACCATTTGTCTCCATTCACTCCTAACTAACACTCACGCACGCTTGCTGGAAGTCCAAACCCCTCACCCACGACACCTTAACACCTTACCCCCTCCCTCCAACCTTTTCGAGGACGACCCCTACCCTGTCTTCCTTCCCCTACAGATTTATACGCTCTCCATGTAATTCTACTTTGATCCATTCTCTCTAAATGACCAAACCACCTCAACAAACCCTCTTCAGCCCTCTGACTAATACCTTTATTAACTCCACACCTTCTAATTTCCACACTTCGAATTTTCTGCATAATATTTACACCACACATTGCCCTTAGACAGGACATCTCCACTGCCTCCAACCGCCTCCTCGCTGCAGCATTTACAACCCAAGCTTCACACCCATATAAGAGTGTTGATACTACCATACTTTCATACATTCCCTTCTTTGCCTCCATAGATAACATTTTTTGCCTCCACATATACCTCAATGCACCACTCTCCTTTTTTCCTTCATCAATTCTATGATTAACTTCATCCTTCATAAATCCATCTGCTGACACGTCAACTCCCAAATGTCTGAAAACATTCACTTCCATACTCCTCCCCAATTTGATATCCAATTTTTCTTTATTTAAATCATTTGATACTCTCATAACCTTACTCTTTTCTATGTTCACTTTCAACTTTCTACCTTTACACACACACCCAAATTTGTCCACTAATCTTAGCAATTTTTCTTTAGTCTCCCATAAGCACAGTATCATCAGCAAAAAGTAACTGTCACTTCCCATTTTGTACTTAATTTCCCATAATTTAATCCCACCCCTCTCCCGAACACCCTAGCATTTACTTCTTTTACAACCCCATCTTTCTTTCAACGCACCAGCCGTATCCCACTGAGGTGGGGTGGCCCAAAAGAAAAAATGAAAGTTTCTCCTTTTACATTTAGTAATATATGCAGGAGAAGGGGTTACTAGCCCCTTGTTGCTGGCATTTTAGTCACCTCTTACAACACGCATGGCTTACGGAGGGAGAATTCTGTTGCACTTCCCCATGGAGGTAAGAGGAAATAAAAAAGAACCAGTAAGAAAATAGAAGAAAAACCCAGAGGGGTGTGTGTATATATATACTTATACATGTATGTGTAGTGTGACCCAAGTGTAAGTAGAAGTAGCAAGACGTACATGAAACCTTGCATGTTTATGAGACGGAAAAATGGACACCAGCAATCCTATCATGTAAAACAATTATAGGTTTTCGTTTTACTCGCTTCACAGGACGGTAGTACCTCCCTGGGCGGTTGCTGTCTACCAACCTACTACCTAGGACAACCCCATCTATAAATATATTAAACAACCATGGTGACATTACACATCCCTGTCTAAGACCTACTTTTACCGGGAAGTAGCCTCCCTCTCTTCTACACACCCTAACCTGAGCCTCGCTATCCTCATAAAAACTCTTTACAGCATTTAGTAACTTACCACCTATTCCATATACGTACTTGCAACATCTGCCACACTGCT